ATAAAGACAGTAGAGCTGCACCATTAATCTTTAAACGATCTCAATTCAAACACCCACGCGATCTTATTCCTAACTGACAAAAACTTCACACCGGGACATTCAAATCTGTTTGCGCTGTCGCTGACCCAGAGAGAGCAGTTCTACATGAAACAGCTAGCTTTACTTTTCAGTCTTTTCAACAACACAGTATCGATATTTCTGTGTTAAAAATATTCAAATGATCACAGAAGTACTGAGGTAAAAGTTTATAGTTCGAGAATAAACACTGATGTCTACTGTAGCAACCAAAACAGTTAATCACCTTTTGAAAGTCGCTTCAAATAACGAAAATTTTTGAATGCCTTTTTTCAAAACGTGTTTTTGTCTTATCCTGAATCACTACGGTAAGGCTGTAATAAGCGTTTAGACTCGGACTACTTTACACTGGTCGGTTCGGCACTGCTGCGGAGTAGCCCAGTGCCTGCGTGACTCACCTGCGTCATAGACATAAACATAGAGAAGTAGCTCCGGCTACAATGTTCTTCCGCAAGACGCATGCATTTCTGTTTATTAACTGCTAGAGCACTTTAATCCAGTAAGGAAACAAGTGAAGTTTTTATGAATCAATCATTCAAACCGATTTAAAAAATATTATGTTTCACCTGTTTGGATCTTACATGTGTGTTCAAGCATATTCTACCCCTTCTGAGAGGGTATTCCACTGCTGGAGATACAATAAGATATAGGAGAGGTCCCAAATTATCCTTGAGAATGCAGCATTTTTTATTTTCCTTCAGAAAAAATGATTGCTAAATAATATGTTGCATTTGTTGACATTGCCAGTCTGTTAAACTCATTTGACAAGTATCAGAAATAAAACACAAAAAGGATTGTGTATTTTCCCCGTACTACTATTTGTATTAGTTGTTTTAATAATTTTTATTGAATGGGAACCGGAACCGGAATCGTTTGGCGGAAAAGGAATCGGAACCGAAAAATTTCTTACGATTCCCAACCCTAGTCTGCAGGGAGGAGTGGGCCAACATCCCTGCCGAAATGTGCACAAACCTTGTCCCCAACTATAAAAAGCGTTTGACATCTGTGCTGGCCAATAAGGGCTTTTCTACAAAATATTAACATGCTGTTTGTCCAGGGGGTCAAATACTTGTTTTTCCTCATCAGATGGTTATCAATTTAAATAAATTCATATGATGTGATTTTCTGGAATTTTCTTTGGGATTCTGTCTTTCACTGTTAGAATGTACATATGATTAAAATTATAGATCGTTGCATTCTTTGTAAGTGGGCAAACCTGCAAAATCAGCAAGGGGTCAAATACTTATTTCCCCCACTGTAGCTTGTTTCTGCTAACAGGTGCTGTAAGGGCAGAATTTCCAAACTTTTGCAATTTGCAAATAAAACGATTTAATTTGTTAAATATTTAAGTACTATTTTTGTTGAATCCTCTGTTGACCTGTTATGATTAAATGTACAACACAATGAACTGTATTTGAGTTCTGTTGAGTATAAAAATGGTATGGATAAAAATTAACAGGAATTGTGTTTTGAGTTGCAAAAAAATAAATAATTTATAATCATGAACTAAGTTAATAATTATGACCTTTACCTTTGCAAATTTATTTCTAGAGCACTTTTCACAATTTTCCATGGTTGCAAAGCAGCTTTACATACATAGTTACAGAATGTTTTATTACTTTAGTGTATTCATAATACACCAAAATGCACCTATAATGTACAAATACACCTTTTCCCATTAATGGTATTTTAATGGCTCGTTGCACATTAAAATCTGGACTTTGGGCTGTCAAAATATTATTAATTATTAAAATTATCTTGACCAGTCCTCAAATTACACAAATTAAAATGTCAACTAAATTCAGAAACGTTAACTGCATGAAAAGTAACAACGTAAAATGTATTAAAATAATTTCAATTCATGCGTCACATTTAAATCCGCAGCGTAATGCGAGCGAGACCGTTAAACCATTTCATTGCGTTTTCCATCAGGAGCAGACAGTTCTGCAGTACATTGAGAGTTGAAGCGGCAGAAAAATGTTACGGATGGTTTTATTCCATCCGCACGGACTGAAACGCAAGCAGTTCTGCACGTTCACATTCTTCCACCAACGAACGGATCTGTCTGTGTTTTAGTGCATGCACAAGAATAAAACTAATGTAATGCTGGACTGGTTAATGCAATTGCTTCCTGCAGCGTTAATGACAGATCATGTCAGGTAAAAGGGAAGCAAAACATTCTGCAGATGATATTTAATGTTGTGTCTGCTGGCTTTATTTCCTCAACAGCTTCAAGTTTAACACACTTTCGTGTTCTCCAGACCATTTCGAGTTTTTCACGCACCACTTACTGCACCTATATTGAGACTTTTCTCTGCGATTCGCAGTCTTTAAATCCATATAATCTGTGCTTTCATTGATAGAAAAATCAGTTTGTTTATAGCAGTACTTGTAACAGTATAGAAAGAACACAAAGTAACCCCAGTTTAGCATGGTGATTATCTGTGCGGTGGCGCAACTGGTAAATCGATAGCGCTCGCGTGGCAGCGACCCGGGTTCTATCACAGTCCATAGTGTTTCCTACATTCGATGTACATGTGTTCCCATGGTCTCTGATGTTCTCCGGATAAAAGTGAGTTACTGGTATACAGGGGCTGTCTGTAAAATGTCAGTAAATTCTTAAGCTGTGCCATTTTTTTATAAAGATTACTTTATTGTATTTGAAGCACACAATAATGGCATTAGCACCCTCCAAGTTTACTTGGAATGCCATTGCAATCTAATTTTAAATCACTAAGTATGACCTCAGTTTGTTATCAGTATAATATTAATGCATGTTCAACACTGTAACCAAAATGGATTTAAAGTTTATGCTGCATGGGTGAAGTCTGCATTTCAAAACTTAAGTGCAGTTTAAATATCTACTCGCATATTTAAGTATACTTGGAATAGTTCTACTTTAGCACAAACAAGTATATTTAATGCAACTTTAGTTGAACTTCAGCACAGCTTTTGGTACAATATTAGTTGTTCCAATTTAACAGACTTTAAGTATACCAATTTATAGTGTGCCACAAATACATTGTTATACTAAAGTACATATAAATAAATTGTGCTTAAGTATGCTATTTTTTCACTTTTGCATATTTTTCTTATTTAAAAATCAAACCTCGGTTCAGACACGATTTGACAAATATAATTTTTTTTGAAGACTGATGTATTGTTTGTGCACTATTTTATTAATTTGATATGCTGACTTGAACTTGACTAATGATCCTGAACTGTGGTCACATTCTCTCTCTCTCTCTCTCTCTCTCTCTCTCTCTCTCTCTCTCTCTCTCTCTCTCTCTCTCTCTCTCTCTCTCTCTCTCTCTCTCTCTCTCTCTCTCTCTCTCTCTCTCTCTCTCTCTCTCTCTCTCTCTCTCTCTCTCTCTCTCTCTCACTCTCTCTCTCTCTCTCACAGACACACTCACACAGACACTCTCTCTCTCTCTCTCTCTCTCTCTCTCTCTCTCTCTCTCTCTCTCTCTCTCTCTCACAGACACACTCACACAGACACACTCTCTCTCTCTCTCTCTCTCTCTCTCTCTCTCACAGACACACTCACACAGACACACTCTCTCTCTCTCTCACAGACACACTCACACAGACACACTCTCTCTCTCTCTCTCTCTCTCTCTCTCTCTCACAGACACACTCACACAGACACACTCTCTCTCTCTCTCACAGACACACTCACACAGACACACTCTCTCTCTCTCTCTCTCTCTCTCTCTCACAGACACACTCACACAGACACACTCACACAGGCATGTTGTTTATTCTGGCTCTCTTGAGAATTATCATAGTCTATTTGTTCATCTTTGGTTACAATGTTACACAAAGCATTGTGAACTCTGGACCTTTGTGACAAACTGTTTAAAAGAACTTTCCCCTCTGCATCTATTACTAAATAAACATTTGAATTAAAACCAGTGACTGACATGTTGTGCCTCTACTGTTACGCTCCATTAACTGGCCCTCTTCAAGTTACTCTTCTTAAAGGTGCAGACTCAAATTTATAGACCGTTATGAAAGTGACAAACTCCTCAGTTATCAGTAGCATATTAGAGCCTCGATCACAAGGAACTTGTCCATCAGCTCATTTCCTGGAGTGGCCCCTTTCAAAATGTCATCTGCAAAAAAAAAAAATCAATACCAACTCCGTCAAAGCAGTTATCCTGTCTGTTTTGGTGTGATGAGTACTCTAGAAGAGAGCAGTGTAACCCGCCACAGCGTGCATCATGTTTTTCTGTGACGTTCTTCTTTTTTCCCAGTCACTTTTTCAGAGAAAAGTAGTAAAAGGAGGTACATCTGCTAATATAACCAGGAAAAAACAGGTCTACTAGCAATCATTGGTTGTAGCCTGCCAAGTTTAAAACCATGAAAATCACAAACAGGTTTAGAGACCAATAAAGAAAATGCAGGCAACACCTATTTGACATTTGCAGGACACATTAAAGGCTTGTGCAACATGTACACTGCCGTTCAAAAGTTTTGTAATATTGTGAACAATTATTACAATTTTAAATAACTTTTATTTTAAAAATGTAATTTATTCTGATGGAAAAGCTGAATTTTTAGCATCATTACTCCAGTCTTCAGTGTCACATGATCCTTCAGAAATCCTTCTAATATGCTGAGTTGCTGCTCAAGTAACATTTCTTATTATTATTATCACAGTTGAAAACAGTTGTACCTGAATATGTTTGAGATTCACAAAAGGGTTCTTTGATTAGAAAGTTCAATACAAGTACAGCATTTATTTGAAATATACTTTTTTTTTCAAACAATGTAAAAATCTTTATTGCCATTTTTGGTCAATTTATTTAAAAATACAATTACGCACCCTTAACTTTTGAACCTGTAGTGTGTGTTTAACATGCAGGAGGGGGTGTACCGTGTTACTCTGATATCAGGATCTGATTTCTATTTTCGTCCTTCAGCAAGAGCTTCCTCTGACACAGTTGGGCCTGTGTGATGCAGTAGTCTGTCAAGCCAGGACCTCGCTTGAGTTCTCCAGAATGAGCTCCTCCCCTGGTCCAGTCCCTGCGTCAGTCTCCCCTGCCCTGGCCGATCGAGGGGACTCGCCTAACCTCTTACCCCGTCTGTACACTTCCCCACTCGGCATGGACAACCAGACCATCTGCATTCCATCTCCGTATTTGGAAGCCTGTCAGGATTATTCACCGCCGCACGGGGGTGAGTTCAACCATGGAGCTTTAACACTCTACAGCCCGGTGTCCTCCGCAGTGCTTGGGTACCCTCATCCCCCCGTGTCTGAAAGCCTGGTCCCGCTCAGTCCCACAATCTTCTGGCCTTCCCACACCACACACACCGCGCTGTCTCTGCACTGCCCACCTCCACTGGCCTACAGCGAAACATTCCCACACACTGCCTGGGAGGACGCCAAGACACACACGTTTAACCAGAGCAGGTGAGAATGTGTATTAAACAGTGCAGTGCGTGTGTTAAACTAGCCACTAATAGCAGATATATTCCTTTCATCTCCAGGTGGCAGCTGTCAAAGGGATAGTTCAGTTGCCATAGAAACAATAACAGCCCTGTGACCAAACAAAATGTTTTAGTTTTCCTGCACTTTATTAGAGGTGCTTGCTACAGTATTTTAAATCATGCAACTTGTTGAGCAGACAATAAAACGGGTAAAAAGGACCGTAGATCAGTGGTTCTCAGCTGCTGGGTCAAGACCCAGGATGTGGTCACACAGCAGGTCTGTTCTGACAGGATCACCGACAGCAGGGAAGAAATTATTTTAAATGCAAATAAAATTCACCTTGCAATAGTCTATAGTTTGTTTAGTGAGATAAATGGGTTATAATATTAAATTGTCAGTGTGTGGTTGCAGGATCTAAATGCAGAAATTATTTTATTAAAAACAAACTCAAAATAACAAAATACTTGAAAATGATGTAAATTTATTTTATGCCAAGTATACTACAAATACAATACATGTATTTCAAATACATTTTAGTTTATATATTTTTCACTAGGGAACTAATCAATGAAATGAACTTAAGCAATCAATGGAAAACCATGGAAACAAAGTGTCTCTCAAACAGTGAATCAATATATGGTGTACATGCATTTGGCCACTAGTAAGGACACTGGCTCACTACACATCCGGACACTGACTCTATTTCTGGTAATCACTACATGTATTTATGAACAGCAGCAGAACTGATATATTTCTGACATTTATTGTTTTTAATGTTATTTAAAGTACATTATGTTAAATTCTTTGCTACATAATGTTTCTTGTTACATGCAACATTTCAGCTGTAAATAAGTATAAATGTTAGCTAGATTATGTTCATTACCTGTCTAGTGATGTACAGTATGTTCAGTTGTGTACAAGTTTTTTCAGGATTCTTTGAGCAATAGAAAGTTCAAAAGAAAAGCATTTATCTGAAATAGAAAGCTTTTGTAACATCATACACTACGGCTCAAAAGTTTCTGGTCAGTAAGAATTTTCTTTTTTTTTAAAGAAATTCTATTAAAATTTAAAATATATTCAAATAAAAAACAGCTATTTTAATAATATTTCACAATATTACATTTCGTTTTGTATTTTTAATCAAATAAATGCAGCCTTGGTGAGCATAATATACTTATTTTAAAAACATTAAAAAACGTACTGATCCCAAACTTTTTGAACGTATAGTATGTATAGTAATATAATACTATATCAAGCACCTAAAGCAGATTAACATAGCAGCACACTTGCAACCACCCAGAACACCCCAGCATCATGCTGATGAGTTTTACACAGGGCAAGCACCACTCACGTTTTTTTATTTTTATTTTTTAAGAAATGTACAAATGTTTTCTTCTTGTCCTCTTTTACTTTATCTGTACCTTCATCTTTTATAGTTCTGTCCTTACTCATGCAAAGCTGTTAGGGCAGCAAGTGGAAGGTGCTGATGGCTTGAATCCTTCTCCAGGCATTGTGGGTAAAGGAGACACGCACTTTTGTGCGGTGTGTCATGACTACGCCTCTGGGTATCACTATGGTGTCTGGTCATGTGAGGGGTGCAAGGCTTTCTTCAAACGGAGCATTCAAGGTAATACTCATGGTCAAACCATTTAACGTAACAAATACATGCTCTTCAGAAGTTTGGGTTTCTGAAATTCCATGGAAATAAATGGAAAGTTTCTTCCTTTTTGAGTTTTTTTCCCCCCACGAATCCTCAAATACTGTACTTGTTCTGTACACAGATTTCTCCGGATATGTCAGGGTCAGTGCACTGTGTTCCTCCATAAGGACTTAAAACAAGTTTGTTATGACCTTTCAACCAATAGACGCTACTCAAAAGGCCAGATATGTAAAACACATGAGAATAATGAATCTCAGTCAAAACCACACAATATATATTTTTTTTAAAGGACAAGCACTCCCTTATCATGGATTACATTGACCAGGGAATCATTCTTTTGCCTGGAATGACTTTGTGATGTTCCGACTTATATCTCCAAGGATTACTTCATTAAAAAAAATTGTTCAGAGAGGAATATTTGTGTAATTTATATTTACAAACATCAGAAAATATAAATTCATTTTTGAAGATTACATTTAACCTTGTTCAATTATTAGTGCCTTTCATGACCGTTAGATAACGGCAATGGTATATATGAATAATATGTATATGAATAATTGTTTATATGCATGTATAAGAGATTTTCATTAAAAAAAATTTATAAATCTCTTATATCAGTCAATATCCAATGTTACTTGGTACTGACATATTGAGCATTCATAATTACACATTCTGTTTTGTTTGTTTTAACTAATAGAGTGAGATGATTAAAAAGCTGAATCCAAGGTGTCCACTGTGTATTTGTAGTCCAGCTTCCCCCACAAGAATGTGAGCTTGATTATCACGTTTTTTTTTTAATCTCCCAATATTCTTCAGGACATAACGACTATATTTGTCCAGCCACCAACCAGTGCACCATTGACAAGAGCCGACGCAAGAGCTGCCAGGCCTGTCGACTCCGCAAGTGCTATGAAACGGGCATGATGAAGTGTGGTATGCAGCCCCATACTTATTATATAGAAAGAAAGATATTATACTTTGATAAATTTCCAAATAAAAAAGGATGTTCAAAGTTTACAGTAAGTGAAGTGGGTTGTGAATACCATTTCATGTTGATTTTGTCTGGTGTTAAGACATACAGTATTTACCCATTTTTCTGCAAACAGTCGTTAATAAAAATTGAACTAGCACTGTCGTCCTGGAAAATGTGAAGTGATTTCATATGATGTGTGCATTGCATTTATATTAAATTGTTACGTCTGAAAATGTTATAAGTTAGAATGATAATAAGTGTGCTGTGCTGAGTGTGCACTTTTGATGCATGTGTGAACAGGTGTGAGGCGGGAACGCTGCAGTTACCGTGGTGCTCGTCATCGTCGAAACCCCCAGATCAAAGACAGCTTGGGCGGGGCGTTAGGGGTCAGAGGTTGTTCCCAGCATAATTTAGAAATTCCTCTCAATCCCACTGATCACCTCTTCCCTTCTGGGGGCAGAGCTGAGGGGTGTGTCCTGAGCTTCTCCCCTGAGCAGTTGGTGAACTGTATTCTGGAGGCGGAGCCTCCTCAGATTTGCCTGAAAGAGCCAGTGAAAAAGCCGTACACTGAGGCCAGCATGATGATGTCACTCACCACCCTCGCTGACAAGGAACTGGTGCTCATGATCAGCTGGGCCAAGAAGATACCAGGTGTGTGTGCTTGTATAAATATATGAAATATTCATCTGATTTGTAAGTTCTTAGTTTATTATGTTAAGTTCTTAGGCCAGGAGTTCACAGCAGATTGAATTTCTTGTCATTTCTAAAAGGTTAATGGGATTTAGTCATCATCAAATAGTTTAGCAGAATGTTGCTCTTATCTGTGCAATGAAAGGTGAACAGGGACTGTCATGCTGCAGAAATGACAAAAAGCTTCATAAATATCATAATTGATGTGTGTGTATCTGTTTGTGCACTTACCTCATGCATTTGAAGGGCAGCAGCTGTGTGTAGGTGTGTGTTCTGGAAGGCCTTTGTGTGTTTTTCTCCTCACAGGTTTCGTGGAGCTGACGCTTTCAGATCAGGTGCATCTATTGGAATGCTGCTGGCTGGATATTCTGATGTTGGGATTGATGTGGAGATCTGTGGATCATCCCGGGAAACTCATCTTCTCACCCGACCTCAAACTGAACAGGTAAAACCTCCTACTAACATAGGAAAACGGCTCCTTCCACAGCACAAATGACACTGCCATCTGTGTAAACGTCACAACACTTTCTTAAAACCAAGAATACATTCTGAGAGGATAATTTGGGAGTATTTACACTGCAGAGAGTTTCGATTTGTTTTTAAAGTGCCCCTGTTATGCCTTTTTAAGGTTTTCTATTGTTGTTAAGGAGTCACCTACAACAGGTTTACATGCATCAAAGGTCAAAAAACTGTTTAATTTCCTCATAATATACATTTACACATCACCACATTTTCAATGATTCTCAAACGACTCGTCAGATTAGTCAATCTCTCTAAATCCCTCCTTTCCCCAAGCTACTCTGCTCTGATTGGCCTGACAGCTTAGTCTGTTGTGATTGGTCTAAACGCCCATTGCCATAATTACGTCAGCTCTGCGTGTCCTGAGGCTTCCTACACCGTAAACTAAACATAGTAATAATGATCAATGACGTCGATTTTTACCATATCAATCCGAGCGCGAGTCCGATGATGAAACATTGGAAGAACTAGTTATTCAACCCGAACTTCCATCGCAAGGACGACTTGAGCAGGACGTTTCTCTGTGATGCACTACTTAGTTTGATGTACATTATGAGATGTTGCAACTGTAATTCCTCACCATCAGCATTAACAAGTGTATGTCCATCAACAAACCAATTATTTCACTTGTACTAATTTATTTTTCTAATATATCATTTTAGAACACGTGGACGCTATCAATAACAGTGCATGTATGCAATGTATACCTTAGCCGAGCTCTAGCGTGAATGACTGATGTAACACAAACGTTGGTAAAACAAATCTTGCTCTTCCTCAAAGTAGTGAGAACGACAGATAATCTGCATTAATAGACAGAGTTTTAGGTAATAGTGGCCCACAGCTGCTTAGAAGTATTTCAGTAAGACAGTAATAATGTGAGTTAACCAGTTAGCAGGAGACCTACACAATATAAAACTCAAAACTGAACTATTTTGAACACCATCTTTCAAGAGCAAGCGCTTTGCGAATCCTGCATTGATCTCTGAGATTTGATAAGCGGTCGTCAGTAAAATAAAGGGAACAGCAAAAGTTTAGGATCACACTGCTGTGGTATCGTGGTAAAGATGAATTTTAACCACCGATTCTTCACTTGCTCGTCCTTGGGCAGTGAAAAAAAAAAAAAAAAACTGGCTTTACCCCTTCACATTAGTGTTGTCACGGTACCAACATTTCAGTATTCGGAACCAATACCAGTAAAAATGTAATTTTAAAAGGGCTTTTTAAACCTGCTAAGAGTTATCCAGCCAAGAATAAGCCTAGAACTGCTTTTCTGACGGACTGATATTAATGACATATATAGGGATGAACTGATACCAGTAGCTACTCGGGTGTCGGTCCGATACCGTGCTCATGTAGGCCTACTCGTACTTGTGTAAAACTACCCCGATACAACCGCACCGATACCACTTTAGGGGCCCCTTCACATCATGTTTTTTGCGCGTGCAAATTCATTATTTCAAATGTAGGCTATGCCGCGGCGAGATGAAAACATCTCAACAGGTCATGTGACAAAAACCAACTGATCAGCTTCTGCCTTTCTGTAACAACATCGAAAGCTCGGCCGAACAGCTGATCATAGCTGTACAGGGCGGCTTTTTATTTCTCATCTCCATAAATATATCTAGTAGTAAAGCTAATGCAAGGGCTAGAAATCAATTAATTCTTTGCTGATAGTTCCTCGTCATCATGGAGAGCGCAGTTCGCACTGCTTTCTCCTCCTTTTCACAAGCGTTTGCTCTCCCGTTGCATCTGTCGTTGCTATGCAGCCATGAACAGAGGCGCGCCTGGAAAAACGAGCTCGCTGCGTCGCTTCTATTATGAGTGCGCTTGCTGTGCGCCTACATTTGAAATAACGAATTTGCATGCGCAAAAAACGCGCTGTGTGAACGGCCCCTTATGGAATAATTTTGATTAGGCTAATGTCACATTGCCATATGTGGCTCTTTCCTCCTTTCTGGTCAATAAGTGGATTCAGAGCCACCGCATTAGCAGCGCCGCTGGTTGACCCGTCTCTGTGTTTTTATGAAGAGGATGCATCTGTGCACCTTTTGGACAGCACATCAAGAACCGGATTAACTCGGTACTTCGATACCACCGGTACTTAAGAAAAGCTGGTACCGTAACGGTTTAATTTTTTTAGTTCCGTCTTGGTACCGAAGTACCAGGTCTTTTGGTCTTATGCGGTGCACTTTCAGATTTAAATCTTTGCAGGATGTTTTCATTCACTTGGAGCTATGCTACACACTACATGAAAGGTAATTTTTCAGAAATCCATAATAGAGGCCCTTTAAAATCTCATCATTATTACTGACTGTCCACAATGTGCCCATATCGGATCTGTGTGTTCCGGCAGCCATTTTCCTGTTTATACCTACTTTGGTTGCTATAGTGATCACAAAGCATTCAGCACTATGCCAAGTTACTTTTTTCTAACAACTGGAAGCAGAAAGCTGACAGCATGAAAGGTACTGACAAAGCTGGGAATATGAAATGTGACAGAGAAAAATGTGATTCAACCAGGGCTTAAAAACTAAAAAATAAATAAACATTAAAATACTGATTTTGCTTGGAGTGAACCGTTTTCTGTTCATGCTTTCCTTCTGTAACATTGTTACGAAAACGTTTGATTAGAAAATAACAGTTAATAATGTTATTTTATATACAGTGGGGGAAATAAATATTTGAATCCCTCGCTGATTTTGGTCACCAGGTTTGCACACATCTCCGGAGGGATTTTGGTCCACTCCTCTTTACAGATACTCTCTGAATCCTTAAGGTTTCTCGGCTGTCTCTTGGAAACTCAAAGTTTCGGCTCCCTCCACAGATTTTCTATAGGATTAAGGTCTGGAGACTGGCTAGGCCACTCCACGACCTTAATGTGCTTCTTCTTGAGCCACTCCTTTGTTACCTTGGGGGTATGTTTTGGGTCATTGTCATGCTGGAAGACCCATCTTCAGTGTTCTGGCTGAAGGAAGGAGGTTCTTGAGAGACCAATGGACGGGGCCATGTACTGTCAATACAGTGAAGTCATCCTGTACCCTTAGCAGAGAAACAGCCCAAAAGCATAATGTTTCCTCCTTCGTGCTTGACTGTAGGGATGATGTTCTTGGGGTCATATTCAACATTTCTTTCCCTCCAAACATGACAAGTTGAGTTGATGCCAAAGAGCTCGATTTTGGTCTCATCTGACCACAGCACTTCCTCCCAAGCCTTCTCTTAATCATTAGATCTTCATTGGCAAACTTCAGACGGGCCTGTACATGTGCCTTCTTGAGCAGGGGGACCTTGCGGGCGCTGCAGGATTTCAATCCATTGCGGCGTAGTGTGTTACCAATGGTTTGCTTGGTGACTGTGGTCCCAACTGCCTTGAGATCATTAACAAGCTCCTCCCGTGTAGTTCTGGGATGATCCCTCACCTTTCGCATGATCATCCTTACCTCATGAGCCGAGATCTTGCATGGAGCTCCAGACAGAGGGCGATTTGATTTGGTATTTCTTCCATTTCCGAATAATCACACCAACAAGTCTCCTTCTCTCCAAGCTTCTTGCTGGTGGTCTTGTAGCCCATTCCAGCCTTGTGCAGGTCTACAATCTGGTCCCTGGCGTTTGATAGCTCTTTGGTATTGCACGTGGTGGAGAGGTTGGAATGGAAGAAACGAATTCTGTGGATAGGTGTCCACTGAGTCATTAGGACATTAGGAGTACTTTCTTAAAGGGACTAATCTGTGTTCCACATGGGCACATAACCAATCTGTGGGGGGCAGAATTCTTGCTGTTTGGTAGGGGATCAAATACTTTTTTTACTCGATCAAATGCTAATCAATTTACAACCTTTATAAAATGTGGTGTTCTGGATTTTTTGGTTGATATTCTGTCTCTATCTGTTAAAATAAACCTACCATAAAAATAATTTTTGTAAGTGGGCGAACTTAGAAAATCAGCAGGGATAATATACACACACACTTACACTAACACGTCAACAACAAATGTTTCAAGTAGTTTCCCCAATTTCAAATTCAACTGAAAATGCAACTTTTAATGAATTGACCGATACTAAGAGACTGTGACTAAACCTCGTATCTCGAGTGGATCCTCAAACTGTCGGTAAAACCTCATGCAGTAGCTACAGGAGCGGAGAACAGTGTCTTAGTCTGGTATTTGCTGTCTAGTCATAGCCAATACAGCCTGTGCATAACACTTGGTCTTTTATAACACAAGCTTTTTGCCCAATACTGTATATTAAACGACAGTAAAAACTGAGCGCTCACTTAGCTTTAATAACCTTTGTAACCTGTAAGTTGATAAAGTGGGAGAAATCGTCTCATATCTTGCTTTATGGTAACATTTGAAAAACACTGGTGTTTAGTGGATTTATTCATCAACCTTCAGATAATCTGTTATTGTGTGTGTCCAGTGCACAGTGTTTGTGTGTGCACACGCTGTGTGTGACGTGCATGGATGTTGTTGAAGTTCGTTAATTAAGAAAACTGAATACAAAAAGATTTCACCCTCTGTTTTCACTGTATCTCAAGTAATTTTGTTTCTCAACCTCAAGTAAATGTATCTTTATTTAAGAATGTTGTTCTGAAAAACAATGCCAAAAATAATTTTCTTCCTCATTATTTTTGTCGTGTTTGTCTGGTTTGCATGCATGCATGTGTGTGTGTGCATGTTTATTCATTTGTGTCTCTGTGGAATTTAATATTCCTCTTCCTTGGTGATTATCTCCAGGGTCTTAACAAACCTTGGTGTGTTCTCATAACACAAGCTTAGTTTGTACTATTCATTTCTCACACACATTTGAGTGTGTGTATGAGAAAGTATGTGAGACAACGTGTGCTTCCTTTTGTCTTTCACCTGACACTCTAAGGTCGTCTGTATTCATTCAGTATAAGCTGCTGTATTTTAAAGTGCCCCTTTTATGCTGTGTGTTATATAGCTGTTTGTGAATGTAAAATGTCTGCAAAGTTTTAATGGGGATGTCTAATGCTATTTCATGCATTCTGACTTCTTACACTTAAAGAGTTGGATTCTCATGCTAAACATGGCCAAAGTTTCAAAAAACGAGTTGTATGACAGAGTATTTCCGAAAGTAAAGAATCAATTCTGAACTGCTGAAACGAGTCTTCAGCATTTCCAGTCTTACTTCCTGTTACAATTTAGCAAAATGCCAGCATATAGTCTCCATTTCCTGCCCACGAACAACGTCTACTTTGACCCGCCCTCAAACACTGTAGCTAAGTTTGCCTCGTGTTGTCGACATGTTGAGAAGATGCTGTTTTCAGTGCTGCGAATCCACTTTGCATAGATTTCCAAAGGATGAGGACTCTTTGTGGAATTGACACAGAAAAAAACGATACCATCATTACACTGTAATGGGCGTTTTGTTTCTGACACACACTGTAAGCGGGTTGACCAATCACAACATACTGGGCCATCTAACCAATCAAAGCAGAGACGACTCGTGGAAAGGAAGGGTTTAGAGGGGCTGAATCTTCGAATGAACCATTTCCAGACACTTGAAATGAGGTGATGTGCAATGTATCATGGGGAAATTAGTGACCATCAGTTTGACCTTGGATGCCTGTAAACCTATTCTAGGAGACCTTCAAAACAAAATTCAGAAACTTGTTGAAAATAGCATAATAGGGGCACTCTAACTAGTTACAGTATCTTTGCCATCTTTTTCTAATTTATTTTTTTGTTACTCTTTTTTTGGTACACTTTGTTTATAACTGTGAAAAAGTAGAAAAAGGATAATATATATGTATGTGTGTATACATGCATACATACTTTTCTCCTCTATCTCAGTTTCAGACTCTCTTTCTCTTCTTCTTTCAGGGGTGAATGGAATTGTGTTGAAGGCATCATGGAGATCTTTGACATGCTGCTAGCCACCACCTCCAGATTCAGAGAACTGAAGCTACAGAGGGAGGAATACGTCTGTCTCAAAGCCATGATCCTTCTCAACTCCAGTATGACACTTCTCTGATTGTGTGTGTGTGTGATATTTTATGAGAGTAAAATGCTATAAAATAAAATGCTACATATCTTGTTTTTTCTCTACATGATTGTTGGGCTATATAGTTAACTATAGTTAGCATGTTGTTCAATAACAGAAGCTTTTGATTTACATGACTAGTCTCTGGTCACCTGCCAAGGCTGCCACCTTATATTTTAACCCTATAAAGCCTACTCCTATTTGATACATGACTTGCTAAGGCCTCGAATTATCCAAATCATCCAAACATTGCTGAAAAACACAATCTTCTACATGCCTTCTGTCTTACAGGCATTTTAGTAGAATTATAAAAAAGTCCACCTTGAGTTTTTTGTAGATGTGTCTTTTTGCCTGGAAAACTTTACTGATTTTATAAAGTTAACGTAAATATAACTTTTATATTGTTAGTAATTTTTCTATAGGAATAATTACTGGACTGAAGCAACTTAGGTCTACTTGATTATCCATGCATCATTTTTTTCATGTTAAAATGTATGTATCAAATAAGTTGGAACATGATTGCATTGAATTATACGTTTAGCCCCCACAATTAAAACTATAGAGCTTTGATCATGAAACTAAATATCATCTTATCAAGGCATATTTTGGAGATATCTGATATTTATATGCATTATATGCAAGTAATCACCCTATATCTAAATCACATTGATTTACATTATAAGCTATAAGAATTTCATCTCTACTTTTCAGCTTTATAACTACTGCAACAAATTACATATTTTTGCTCAGTTTGGGCCTCTGTATAACATTGAGGTTTTCACTATATCATAATACAGGTCCTTCTCAAAAAATTAGCATATTGTGATAAAGTTCATTATTTTCCATAATGTAATGATAAAAATTAAACTTTCATATATTTTAGATTCATTGCACACCAACTGAAATATTTCAGGTCTTTTATTGTTTTAATACTGATGATTTTGGCAAACAGCTCATGAAAACCCAAAATTCCTGTCTCAAAAAATTAGCATATCATGAAAAGGGTCTCTAAACGAGCTATTAACCTAATCATCTGAATCAACGAATTAACTCTAAACACCTGCAAAAGATTCCTGAGGCTTTTAAAAACTCCCAGCCTATTTCATTACTCAAAACCGCAATCATGGGTAAGACTGCCGACCTGACTGCTGTCCAGAAGGCCATCATTGACACCCTCAAGCAAGAGGGTAAGACAGAAAGAAATTTCTGAACAAATAGGCTGTTCCCAGAGTGCTGTATCAAGGCACCTCAGTGGGAAGTCTGTGGGAAGGAAAAAGTGTGGCAAAAAACGCTGCACAACGAGAAGAGGTGACCGGACCCTGAGGAAGATTGTTGAGAAGGACCGATTCCAGACCTTGGGGGACCTGCGGAAGCAGTGGACTCAGTCTGGAGTAGAAACATCCAGAGCCACCGTGCACAGGCGTGTGCAGGAAATGGGCTACAGGTGCCGCATTCCCCAGGTCAAGCCACTTTTGAACCAGAAACAGCGGCAGAAGCGCCTGACCTGGGCTACAGAGAAGCAGCACTGGACTGTTGCTCAGTTTTGCATGTCATTCGGAAATCAGGGTGCCAGAGTCTGGAGGAAGACTGGGGAGAAGGAAATGCCAAAAGTCCAGTGTCAAGTACCCACAGTCAGTGATGGTCTGGGGTGCCATGTCAGCTGCTGGTGTTGGTGCACTGTGTTTTATCAAGAGCAGGGTCAATGCAGCTAGCTATCAGGAGATTTTGGAGCACTTCATGCTTCCATCTGCTGAAAAGCTTTATGGAGATGAAGATTTCATTTTTCAGCACGACCTGGCACCTGCTCACAGTGCCAAAACCACTGGTAAATGGTTTACTCACCATGGTATTACTGTGCTCAATTGGCCTGCCAACTCTCCTGACCTGAACCCCATAGAGAATCTGTGGGATATTGTGAAGAGAAAGTTGAGAGACGCAAGACCCAATACTCTGGATGAGCTTAAGGCCAATATCGAAGCATCCTGGGCCTCCATAACACCTCAGCAGTGCCACAGGCTGATTGCCTCCATGCCACGCCGCATTGAAGCAGTCATTTCTGCAAAAGGATTCCCGACCAAGTATTGACTATTGAGTGCATAACTGAACATAATTATTTGAAGGTTGATTTTTTTTTTTGTATTAAAAACACTTCTTTTATTGGTCGGATGAAATATGCTAATTGTTTGAGACAGGAATTTTGGGTTTTCATGAGCTGTATGCCAAAATCATCAGTATTAAAACAAAAGACCTGAAATATTTCAGTTGGTGTGCAATGAATCTAAAATATATGAAAGTTTAATTTTTATCATTACATTATGGAAAATAATGAACTTTATCACAATATGCAAATTTTTTGAGAAGGACCTGTATATGAGCCACACTGTAAAAAAAAATATTTTCATGATTTATCACAATTTTTTCTTTTATCAAATCAACTTAGATCATTTATGTGGTTCAGATAACATAATATTTTGAGTTCCTGTTGATTAAACCAGTCTCCTTCATTGTATTAACTCAATTTCAATGAACTTCAAGTTAATGAAGTTAAACCAACAATACATTTTTAGTGTACAAAAGGCTGATGTATCAAATATACACTCACCTAAAGGATTATTAGGAACACCTGTTCAATTTCTCATTAATGCAATTATCTAATCAACCAATCACATGGCAGTTGCTTCAATGCATTTAGGGGTGTGGTCCTGGTCAAGGCAATCTCCTGAATTCCAAACTGAATGTCAGAATGGGAAACAAAAGTGATTTAAGCAATTTTGAGCGTGGCATGGTTGTTGGTGCCAGACGGGCCGGTCTGAGTATTTCTGCTCAGTTACTGGGATTTTCACGCACAACCATTTCTAGGGTTTACAAAGAATGGTGTGAAAAGGGAAAAACATCCAGTATGCGGCAGTCCTGTGGGCAAAAATGCCTTGTTGATGCTAGAGGTCAGAGGAGAATGGGCCGACTGATTCATGATGATAGAAGAGCAACTTTGACTGAAATAACCACTCGTTACAACCGAGGTATGCAGAAAAGCATTTGTGAAGCCACAACACGCACAACCTTGAGGCGGATGGGCTACAACAGCAGAAGACCCCACCGGGTACCACTCATCTCCACTACAAATAGGAAAAAGAGGCTACAATTTGCAAGAGCTCACCAAAATTGGACAGTTGAAGACTGGAAAAATGTTGCCTGGTCTCATGAGTCTCGATTTCTGTTGAGACATTCAGATGGTAGAGTCAGAATTTGGCGTAAACAGAATGAGAACATGGATCTATCATGCCTTGTTACCACTGTGCAGGCTGGTGGTGGTGGTGTAATGGTGTGGGGGATGTTTTCTTGGCACACTTTAGGCCCCTTAGTGCCAATTGGGCATCGTTTAAATGCCACGGCCTTGTTTCTGACCATGTCCATCCCTTTATGGCCACCATGTACCCATCCTCTGATGGCTACTTCCAGCAGGATAATGCATCATGTCACAAAGCTCCAATCATTTCAAATTGGTTTCTTGAACATGACAATGAGTTCACTGTACTAAAATGGCCCCCACAGTCACCAGATCTCAACCCAATAGAGCATCTTTGGGATGTGGTGGAACGGGAGCTTCGTGCCCTGGATGTGCATCCCACAAATCTCCATCAACTACAAGATGCTATCCTATCAATATGGGCCAACATTTCTAAAGAATGCTTTCAGAACCTTGTTGAATCAATGCCACGTAGAATTAAGGCAGTTCTGAAGGCGAAAGGGGGTCAAACACAGTATTAGTATGGTGTTCCTAATAATCCTTTAGGTGAGTGTATAATTAAGAACATAAAACGCATTACGTATTTATTTTGTCTAAAGGTACAATCAACTGTTCCATAAAAAAAGAAAACGATTGTTTTGAATGTTATCACAAAACGTACTCTTCTCTTTACCTGCATCAGATCTCATCCTGTTTTGTGCTAATTAACAGATAACTGTTCAAGCTTGTCACAGACTCCTGAAGGTGTGGAGAGTCGTGGGAAGGTTCTGAGGCTGCTGGACTCTGTGACTGACGCTCTGGTTTGGAGCATCTCCAGAACGGGCCTGTCCTCTCAGCAGCAGTCCATCCGGCTCGCCCATCTGCTGATGCTGCTCTCACATATTCGACACCTCAGGTACCACTGCAGACTGTCGTGATCTCACAGAAACTTCCCTCTCATCTGTCACTTTGCTCTTCTTGCAGATAGAGTGATTGACTAGGGATGTAACGATTCACTCATCTCACGATGCGATACGATTCACGATACTGGTTTCACGATACGATTTTCTCACAATTTTTTTAACAAATGAGATTTAAGACAAAAGTGTCGCTTTTATTATTTCTCAGACAAAATGCTGCACATTTCTTTTTAATTTAAAATATATTTGTCAAATAATAAAACTACATTAAAAAAATTCCCTTCAAGGTTGTTTCAACTCAGTCTTTCTGTCTGTTTGGTCAAGAGGCTGGACACTGGTACCTTCGCACACTATGTAAAAGACTATGTAAAATTAGTACCAGATTGACAGGGGCTTTACATTGTAATAAAGGCAAGATTCTAATTTTGTTATAATTTGTATCATTACACTAGTAAGAGTAAAAAAAAAACACATTTAGAGAAAGAGGTAGTAAAATAAATACAACACCTGGTTGCCACGGAAACACTGATGCACCTTGTGATCTCCGTGGCTCTCGCAATTGTCGTATTAATGACTTTTACATGAAAACGGAGGTGACTGGTGCTTCTCACGGTGGGGATTATTATTAGTCTACGGAAAGTCAAAATGCCGCCACACCTCCGATTTGAATGAGTCAACGTCAACATCTACGCTTGCCGTCGCCATGTCTACTGTTTGACGGCGCGTGCACACCAGTCTATGGCACACACTGGCGCGGCGCGAGCGGAGCAAAGCGAGCGTTTTCAGTTCATTCCTCTGGTAGTTGACCTTGGCTCACACAAGATCAAGTTCCATGAATGAAGTGAAAACACTCGCTAGCTTCACGCCAGTGTGTGCTCGCTGCTATTGTGCCTGTAAAGCGAGGTTCACAACTTCACAGTAGGCTATACAGTAAACGCGCCCTGCTGTTTAAAACGTGTATCGCGATTCGTTTAACATTTCAACCGACTTGAATCGTCACACATTTTTATCGATTTTCAACCGGTTGCGAGTGAATCGTTACATCCCTATGATTGACTATTCTATTCTCTTGTCGTCCATATAGCAACAAAGGAATTGAGCATCTGTCGAGCATGAAGAGAAAAAACGTGGTGCTGCTGTACGATCTTCTGCTGGAGATGCTGGACGCCAACACGTCCCAGAGCAGCCGGATGCTGGCGACACGTACAGAAACCTCTCTCCGGCCGGACACACAACAGACCCCAGAGATCCTCCACACATCCAGACCGCAGCCTGCACCGAGAGAGAGCGACCAGGAGACCCGGCACAGTCCACAGTGAGTGGATACATGCGCGTGTTGAATTATGAGTCCATCCACAGAACATCAGTGCTAAAACAGTACTACTTTATTTAAAAGGTTGATTCATTTTTAGAGATTAAGTTCATGTAACTGCTTAACTGTGTATATACTCCCATTCAAAAGTGTTAGAAATTATTTATTTTTTATGAAAGAAATTAATTTCATTCAGCAAGGATGCATTAAATGGATCAAAAGTTTGTCACAATAAAAAAAAAAAATGCTGTTTATATTTGAATCTTCTATTCATAAAATAATTCTGAAAAATAATGAATCATGGTTTCCACACAAATATTAAGCAGCACAACTGTTTTCAACACTGATAATAATAAGAAATCCTGGTCACACTTTAGATTAGGGTCCAAAACTCTCTATTAACTACGACTTTGTATCCAATAAACTCTTAATTACTGCTTATTAATAGTTAGTAAGGTAAAGTTTAGGTAATGGGTAAACAGCCAATATCCTAGTAATATGCATGCTAATAAGCAACTAATTAATAGTGAGAATTGGACCTTAAAGTGTTACTGAAATGTTTCTTGAGCAGCAAATCAGCATATTAGAATGCTTTCTGAAGGATCATGTGACACTGAATGCTGAAAATTCAGCTTTGCCATCACAGAAATACATTTTGCAACCTAAACATTAAAACAAAATCTTAATGACCCCAAACTTCCAGTTCCAAGCACACGATTTTTTTGTTTGGTTTACAAATGTAAATAGAGTGTAACTTGTGCTAAACCTCTAACAAGGTAACACAGATTTTGTCTGTCCCTCTAGTGCTGAAGAGACACTGCACTGTAGGACATTGGACATGGACACAGACTGACAATCTTTCTTCTGTATGGTAATTGAATTCGGACCATCCATACTTTTGTTCAAGCCGCTTGTATGGTGTAGGGGATTCGAACCAGACCTGTGATCAATGACAACCTGAACCAAACAGGGCTTTCATATGGCGTTTAGTCCTACTTCAACACAATACAGTTCGAACTATATTGTTTCCTTTTTTGCCATAATGTCATCCTGAAGAGAATTTCATCTCATCCAAACCAATCTCAATCTTGTTCAAGAAATCACAAATGCTATCTTTTTAAGGCTGTATCCGGTTCTGTATAACGTGAAATGTGTTATTTCTGTGCCACTAATAGCAGAATAGCAAGAAAACTGTTTTAAAACTAGATTGAAACACTCCCCCGTTCTACCATTGGTCAGCAACCAGGTAGCCCCACCCCAAACTCATGCCATTGGTTGAGCCAGTGTAAAGTTGTCTCCTCCTGAGCCATTCAAACAGACTGCAGAAATGACACACTGCACATTTTAAACATTTTGTTTGTCATCCAAGATCTCTGAGAACCTCTGATTCAACATGACCGTTTCTCTGAAGACTGGCCAAACTAAAGGAAATGGTACGCACACTTCTAATAGTTTATGCATTTTGTACTCTGTGTCTGTATAAGTGGGTATTTGCTGTCCTGTGGTGCTTTTCGTGGTTTATAAAGTACTTGTCATTGACAGTAAATGTGACGCTTATAAAAAACGTTTGCAGCTGTACTCTTAAAGCCCGGATTCCACGCACGATCAGGTGTATCATTCTGGAAAAATGGCCTTGTAATGTGTAATTTCCTGGTGCTACAAGTGTTAGTAATGGTGCATCCTGGAAAAATGCCTTGTGTAATCACAACCTGCACCTACATTTTCCTGAAAAAAATGCAGTTGCATTAAAGCTGGAGTGTATAATTTCTGCATGTGTCACCAAGTAGTATTGCAAAAAGTAATTTTCTAACAGTTTTTTCCAAACACTCCCTCATTTGCCATTGGTTGGACAAACAGTCCCAAACTCATGCCATTGGTGAGTCAATGTTACTGTACTGAACAGGTAGAGATGCTCAAACAGTGTTTTAGCTCTTTCCCCACCTTTGACGGGATTTTCCGGGGACGTTATTATGCTGCATCTGAAAAAGTAGAGTATCTCGGGGGCAGAAACATTCATATTGCATGGTCAGATATTCAAAAAAAAAAAAAAATTCTGGGGGCCATGACATTTTTGTGAAAATTTCTAAACTTTTTTAACGTTGGCAGGGAAAGAGTTAATAGCTCCTCTGTTTACAGTTTTTGGGATGTTAACTTACAAACAGCTTATAGTTTTCTGAGGTAGCAGAAGGTATTTTATCAAAATAACACTTCAGCTTTAAACAGGAAGAAATATACTTGATAACACTAAGTTTCTAAAGGTAGCAAAATTAAATTCATTTTTATTTCCAAAACTATACAGCTGCAAAATAAATGTGGGAATTAAGTGAACACTTGTGCATATTTGTATTTGATGTTTATTTGTAGTAAAATTGACTTCAAAAGCAAAAAAAAAAGCACCAAAATCACATCTAACTTTATAATCTCTTCAACCAGTGTTTGACACCGGCAGTGCAAGGTTTGCTGCAAAATAAATTCATAAAGTAAATGTTTCTCTTACTTTCTCATAGTCTATTTCAGTTGACCCATAGTGTAATCCACTATAACAAATCAATTAAAACCATCAAATGAACAGCATAAAAAAAAAGTAATATGAAGTCTCTGAGACTTTGGCAGTTAGTATGAGCAAAAGATTGACTAATGGCCTTTTCACCATATTACCATCACAACTGACATTCAACTATGTGGGTAAATAAACATAAAAGCCACATATGAAATGTTTCTATGGGACATTTTAGCAAAACTTTGACCATCTGGACACCAGAGTCTCCTGCCAGAGACATTCTACCTATGAACATAATCAGATGTAATTTAGATCTCCAATGAGATAATTTACCAATTATAATGTAATAATTTCAGCAGTTTTGTATTATTCACACATGCACAATTGAAAACAACACAAGCCACCAAATGTTAGACTGAATAAATTAAAAGACTAATACATTTGCACACACCCTGATGCCTCTATCTCTTCTCCATGGCTTTAACCAAAGAAATGGCAGCTACAAATAAAATATATTCATCATTTCAAGTCATTTCAAGTTCTCATTGACTCCAAGAAACAAGACAGTATGAACACAACTGATCTTAAAGCAAGTCCCATCACTCACACATATACACAGGGATTCTAGTTAAAAAATACAAGCCGTCTATGAGTGAACTATAGGTTCAATTATCTGTCATTTACATTTAAAAAATAAATACATTTGTGTGAAGGAGCGTTTTAATGTGTGCTGCTACATACTATACAGTTTGAAAACATTCAGAGTGCACCTTCAATGAGGGACCCTTGCCGTCAGTGTTCTTCAAGAATACAGGCTCCTGAAGACAGGTTTCAGATTGCTTCAGAAAAACCTCCTTGAGCAACAGATTCAGGAACTAGAATTGATTGAACACTAAAACCCAAACTCCAGAGCTACAGGTTCTGCAACAGGAGAGTTAACCCGGGAAGCGTGGACAACATCCCAACATCATTGGGATGTGGGGTGTGTTCATGCTCATGTGGGCGGGGGTCCGTTGGTGTAGAGGAGCATGGGGTAAAAGGATCGGGCAAAGTTGTTGGAGAGAGTGCAGCTGTAGTCGTCCTCTGAGAGAGGCACCAAACACGCCACAACCAGCAGCAGCAGGAAGAGGATGTGGAGGGGGAAAGCTGCTCGCAGGACACGGTACAGGAACGGCCTCGCCGGGGAACAATCAGCTTTATCAGCCCTAAAGAATGGACAATTACACAGTAAAACATTTTTACAACACCACTCAGAAGTCTATGGAAGCTTGTTTCCGCCACTGAATAAAAATAAATAAAAAAATAATTGCGACTTTTTATCTCATAATTATGTGTTATACAGTCAGAATTGTGAAAAATAAAGTCGCAATTGCGAGATATAAAGTCGCAATTCTGAGAAATAAAGTCGCAATTGCGAGAAAAAAAGACAGAATTGCGACTTTTTATCTCACAATTTTGACTTTTTCTCACAATTGCGTGTTTACATCTCGCAATTCTGACTTCAACACGGAATTTCGACTTTATATCACGCAATTCTGACTTTATATCTCGCAATTCTGACTATAACACGCAATTGCGATTTTATATCACGCAATTCTGAGAAATAAAGTCAGAATTGCGAAATGTAAACTCGCAATTGTGAGATAAAAAGTCGCAATTACCTTTTTTATTTTTTTTTTAAATAAAAGATTAAGTGACAGTAAAGACTTTTACATTGTTACAAATTTAGCAAGAATGGACATTTATTTATTTCTAATAAATGTTGTTCTTTTGAACTTCCTATTCATCAAGAATCCTGAAAAACAAATTCATCATGGTGCCCACAAAAATATTACGCAGCAAATCAGCATATTAGAATGATTTCTAAAGGATCATGTGACACTGAAGACTGGAGTAATGATGCTGAAAATGCAGCTTTACCATCAGAAGAATAAATTATATATATATAAAAAAAAAATCTAAATAGGAAACAGTTATTTTAAATTGTAATTATAATAATAATTAATACTTGTAATTGTAATCATTTAAAAATATTACTGTAATTGTGTTTAAATAAATGCAGCTTTGGTGAGAGAAGTCATAAGAGACTTCTTTCAAAAATCCTACGGTAGTGTATACATTGCTATTTATCAAAGAATGTAGGGACCCCAAAGACATTTATGTTACAAAATATTTCAATTTCCTAAATGTTTTTTTAAACTGTCACTTGTGATTGATATAACATGTTCTTGTTGAATAAAAGTGTTCATTTCTATAAAATGTTTTAAAAAAAATCTTACTGACCACAAACTTTTGAAGGGTATTGTTTATAAATTGTAACCTAAAATGTAGATGCTGGTTTAAGAACATTCTTAAGTGTTATGTTATTTGTCACCTACTCATAAAACAACTTTAAAATGTGAGTTATAACTTTATGGGTTGTGAGGGTCAACATAAAGAGTACATGTTGGGGGGAGGGCCTTTTCCTAATGCGCCTGGGTTATGGAACTCTTTACCTGCATCTATTAGGAATGCTGCTTTTGTGGATTGTTTTAAGAAACTTCTTGAGACATCTTTTTAGTACAGCTTTTAATGTATAACTTATTACAGTGTATTTTTGTCCTTGTTTGATTTTTGTTCTGTACATGTTGTAGCGCTTTGAGTTTGAGAAAGTTATTACAAATAAAATATATTGTTATTATTATGTTGAGAGGTGAAAGTGGAGCAGAAAGTGAGAAGAACTAGTGTGAAGAGAGCCTAGAAGTTCAGCAAGGTCACAAACGCAGATGCATAGAAGTACTATCAGTGTGTACCTGACACTCGCGGGAGATCCCCGTGGAACATCCTGAACCTCTGCGACTTCCTAGAGAGAAGAAAAATGAGTCATAAAATAAGACTTTTCAGAGATTTACTGCCAGTGTTAAAAACAAAGTTAGAAGGCGAAATAGATTCTCATGACCTATACGGCTGCAATCATTACCTAGTACTTTTTTTAAAAATCCATCTAAATTATTGTTATATATTAAAGAACTTGTGAGGATTCAACCTTTCCTTCATATTTTGAGACAGAGCTCATTGTACAAGATCACTTCAGACTAGGGCTGCACGATATTGGAAAAAAAATCGGCTATTTAGTTTTTCTGCAATATGAAAACAGTTTCACCAGATGAATGACACTCTTTCACTCTTTTTGTAAAGAATGAATCATTCTAGAACGAGTGGGGTGATTTTGTTGGGGAGGGAATCTGTATGGAAAATAAGCATAGATAAATACAATAGAACAAAAGATACAAATTAATTAAATAGTGCTTTATGTTTTTCAAGTAAGTCTAACAGTATTCAGGTACAGTAAAGTAGCACTGCAGAGTCTTCACTGTATAAATGAAATATAATTAATCTGTTAAAGCTACAACAGATTTAGATTTTCTCGGACTTTTGTTGTTTGATTAACATTAATGACACTGACAGCAGCCTAATATTCCTGCTGCCGTCTCTTTAAGACACAATGCACGGATCAATATAATGATACGCATCTGTTTTCTTTCTCAATTGTTTACGGTTCTCATAAGCAGTACGCTATGTGATATTCAGCGAGATGGGCATTTTGAGTGTACTACATGTGTCCGTTCAAGCACAAACGCAGAATTTGGTGTTCCGACTCGAGTTCTCTTTCGCATCTTCTTGTGCTTGAATGATTTCAAATCAATTGAATGTTTAAACTGACAGGATCTAAAACACTGCAAAAAATAAACTTGATCTTTGATGGTTAAAAACTACACTGGAGATGATGGCAAACCCACAGCACAAGGCTGTTGATCATTTCACAGACAGAAAGTAGAAAAATTAAGATTTTTTTTTAATTATGACTAATAATTTAAAAGAGATATATTATTCATCATATTTGTTTTTATGACGCAGCGCCTGAAAATAGTTCCGTTGTGTTGACGGAAGGTGGCCTATTTTCAGGCGCTGCGTCATATCATTACGCCTGCTGCACTCATGGTACGGCAGTGAAGTTTCTTGATTATTACGCAGGAATGAGAGTATAGTTCCTAGCCATATCAGCCTAGAAAATCGCAACTTTACATTTTCCGTCGGTCTTAGTGCACGATGTAACTACAGAAGAGTCAAGTTTTAAATAGGAAAAATATCGAAACTCTTTGGTCATTTTCTTTTTAGAAATGCTAATGGTCTTGTCCACTCCAATGATGTATGCTAAGCTATGCTAAAAGTGGTACCGCCAGAACCGGAGATCGGCTGAATGGATTCAAAAACGGTAAAACTCAACAGTTTAACTCTGGGGGAGTTGTAAAATGAGCCTATTTCCAAAAAAAGTGGAGTATCCCTTTAAATGTCAGTCCAGTTAAAATGACATTTCTAAATTAAATGATAAAAACCATACGAATATTATTAATAATAATAAATCTAGACTTTGTAAATAGCATCAATTTATTACACCAGAAACTAAATCAGAGCCTTGTACTTTCCAGTCTGAACAGGGTGTGAGGGGAAAGGTTTAGTGGAGATAGTGTTTCTGTACCTGGTGTTGTGTTGATGCTGTCCTGCCCACATTTGGACCCGACGAGTCCTGCAACAGAGCAGCAGAGATCAAAACATCAGTGTGTGTGAGACTGAAACAGAGCCTGCAGAGAAAGCGGTGTGTGAAACATACCAGTCTGCTCTGCAGTGTGTGCAGGTCGTGAGCGATCTGTCTGATCAGCAGCCTTAACTTGTTGCTGATGACGTGAACCTTCTCTTTGGCCTCCAGGGTGTCTTCTCTCTGGTCCTGTAGTAGGATCTGTGAGGAGATCTCCTGCAGGGAGTTCACGTCCCTCTCGCGAGACTGCAAGTCCTGCTGAACAGCCTGTGCACAGACAACAACTTATTGCTATTATATTAAGATATGAATCAAGAAATGTAGTCCCACAATTAATCATGTTTTGTGGGGAGATTTTCAGAAATTTGACAAGAATAGCAGAATCTGCCTGCAAACACACACACACACACACACTACTCTACCTTGAGTGTGTCTCGATGCTCTTGCAGGATGTTGAGGTCTGTGTTTGTGTCATGGATGTTGACCATGTAGCGCTGGCTTTCTGCTTTAGCTAACCACAGCAGCAGAGAGTGAAGTGTCTCATGAAACTCCTGGGAGAAAAAAACGAGCCGAATATGCAGATGAGTCTGTGTTTCTCACAGGTCTTCATTACATGAGGTGTGTGTGCTCAGTTTAGACCACTAAACCAGGGCATTTACAGGAAGAAATGGCTCACAATTTTTAAACAAGTCCTGAGAATAACCTCTTGCACAGTAAATCAGGGTTATTATTAACTAAATCTATTAAAACATTTCGGTTAATTTGAATAAAGCTCAAATAAAATATAAAAATTAGTTGAAAAATTAGTCAAACTAAACAAAAAATATAAAATGTTGCCTTGGCAATAAACTGAAAAAAGTAGGTCAAAGCACTAAACTTATTAATTGGAAATAAATAAAAATAAAACTGAAATAAAAATAAATTAAATGTAAATAATAAAATGACAAAACTAAAAACTAAAAATATAAAAGCTAATTCATAATATAAATTAACTATAATAAAACTTATAAAAACTACAATAACACTGGTGTAAATCTGACTGAAATCTCAAACCTGACTGAATTTATTTTCTTTTTTTTAAAGAAATGACAGTTCAAGAGAGGTTATGATCTTGATACGACTCCGTCCCCAGTACTCTGTGGTTTAGAGAACAACTCGTTTAGCATTTCTGCAACCTTTAAAAAACATCCAAAAAAGCTAAAGTTGTGGTATTGTATCCAGAGATAAAATCTAACTTCCACAGAATGTAACCAGTGCAAATGTGTGAAAGTGCACAGAAACGTACTAACCAAATGCATGTTGTGTTGCAGTTGGAAAACAAACAAAACAATCAAGGTTCATTGCTGTATTGTCTCAACTCTGTCTGCCAAACCATGTACTTTTAAAGCACTCACCTGACACTCCATGAGTGCTTGATGCAGTCGGTGCTCCCAGCTGTCCAGGGCCGCACAGGCCTGTGCCCATTTCTGATTGGCTAACTGCAGATTCTCACGCAGTTCTCGTAGTTCAGTGCTGTCTCCATGCTGGAAGCCCCGCCCACTGAGATTGACACCAATCATCACCGATTTGTAGCCGTTAAAAGTCCTCTGCATGTCCTAATGAAAAAAAAAAGAAACTAACTTTTTACTGCATATTCCTTATTAACATACACTGCCTTAGCAAAGTTTAGGGTCTGTAAGATTTTTTTTATGGTTTTGAAAGAAGTCTTTTAATGCATTTTTTTTATTTTATAAAAACAGTAATATTGTGAAAAACTATTACAATTACAAATATTACAAAATGGCAAAGCCGAATTTTCAAATAAATTTTAATAAAGGAAGGTCCACTTGCAATGCACAGCTTCAAGTGGCTTATTGGTTTATTAACTTTCAGTTTTTGCATTCGATTCTATCACTCTCTAAATGTCTCTCTCAGTACCTTTAGTTTGTGGATATTGCTCTCCATGTCTCTGATTGTGATTTTTGGCTCTAGAGTTTGAAGTTTCTCTAGCTCAGGCATCACAGCGTTCAGCCATGCCATGACATCGCTGAGGTCAGAGTTGAGTCTGTGCCACTGCTGAAGATCCTGTGGCACGCTGCACGACTGCACCTGCAGGAGCTCCCATCGCTCGATCACACCTGAAGCCACAGATCAGAGGGCAAAGGTCAAATATATTTGAATGAACATGCCTGTAAAAGTGTGTACACATAATACAAACAGCAGTACCTGTCTTATCTCCTGCAGAGAGGACCGTCAGTCCCTGATCCTCCAGTTGTTCTTCCTCGTTCAGAATCAGCTTCACTCGCTTTATACTGTCTATACTGCCAGCACACTCAGACATGAGTTTATCCTGGAGAGAGTGACGAAATACAACACAAAAATGTGTTTATATATGTGTAAGCCAATGTTAATGTGTGTGTAGCCCAATTGGATAAGTATGTGTGGGTCCTCACATAGGCCTGTGGGTGGTACTGTGTGCTGGTGATCTCTCTGTTCACTCGTGTCCTGTCTGGCGCATCAGGAGAGTGCCACGTCTCCACCACTGATCTTCCCCCTGAGCAAGAGACAGAGAGATATTTGAACTCCTAAAATCACTCGAAACAAGCATGCAGGAAGTCAACACTCAGTTACAGAGCATGCTGCTGAAAAAGTAAATCAAAAAAGATGCATTGGACCCTTTTCACAGACTGTTATTATGAGTTTCCACAGTTATTAACATTGTAAATTAAGCAAAGGTTTTTCATAAAAAAAAAATCTAAAGTACATTTACAACACTATACTTTGTTTTTTCTTGACTTGGTATTAAATTACAGAAAACTGGTTAATGCCGCTGAGTGAGTGATTAAGCGGTTGACGGCAAATTTGACTTCTTTCTCTCCTCTGACCAACAATCAATCTCTTAATAATTTTTTTTCCTCTTTTGGAAAGTAATTGAAACACTATCGTGGATTTCTATACTGGAGCAAATGAAAACACACACAAAAAAATGTATGTTGTAGTTTCCACTCACCACTATAGAAGTCTACCCAACTATAACTACCTTACCATCCACAGTTTCGAATTTAACTTAAGCACGAAATTGGAATATCGCATAAAACATTTGCGAATAAAGCACCGATTCCATCCCCAAGTTTTCAGGAGAACAAAATCGCTACTTTCTGGGAAATTGTCACAAAATATCTGTAATAAAAATGTTGAAAAAAAAAAGTAAAAATAAAAAAAGTTGCTGCAATGAGGGAAGCCACTGTGGATCTTTTTTCGTACATCATAAATTACTTGAGAGCCTGCAGACGAAACGCAATAAACGTTGTCATGTTATTTTGTGTTTGAAGGTGGATGCCTGGTGTTTAGGAATGTGGATAATGACAACTTCGGCTTCTGAGAACCCTGGAAATGTGAAAAGGGTTCCTTAGTAGCAATCGGTGAAAAGTACTGCAACACATGGCGAAGAAGGTTCTTGTCAAACATTAAAACACACACCAGAGGACTTTAAGAGCATGACATGGGAAGCTGCTTGAGTGAGGAAGCAGTGAGCAGCAGGCAGCTTCTAATATATTTATTAAAGACAAATGAAGGAAGCATGTAGGATGCAGTTGGGTTCATGCAGATATTGTAATGTATGCTAAAACACATATGTAATGTGCAGTGAGTGCTGACAGCATGCAGCAGGCTGATGCCTACCGGACACAGCTTTCAAAGCTTTAGATGTAGCTTTAACAAATGACTGAGAGCTCTCAGTGACCTCTACATCTGCAACAGAAGAGCGGCAGACAGACAGATCTAGAGACACTGTAACAGACAGAACTACCTGAGTCTAATAGAATAGAGCAGATAACAGACACAGAGATCTAAATACACTCTAAAAGAGTGTTATATAAAAGACAGCAGGATATAGATATAACAGAGCGGCAGACAACTGACAGGAAGGATGTACAGTAGATACACTGATAGAGCATTGTATTACAGAGATCTAGATACACTAACAATTAATTACATGGCTCATTCTATATAATTAGGGGTACAAAACACAAATATGTTAATAGAAGTGTAGCACATAATTAAAGTTTTTTTTAATCTGTTCTTCAATATTTATAGTGATTGTTAAAAAGTGAATTTTAAGAATGATATTTTTGCAGGAATATCAGGGTTTAAAAAAAGAAAGAAAGATTTTTTGTTAACTATTGCACACATTTTTAGCTCATCCACACACACTGTCTGTTCTGACACGTAGGTTAAATTAGGATAAAAACCTATGGCAAACAATTCATCATCAGTGTAGTGTCACACAGTTCACTACTATGTTAACTAAGAATTTGGTTCTACACGGCAGCTGATTCTAACGATTTCATTGGTCAATCACAGTGCTGATTGCCTACACAATGCTAAGCCCTAACCCTACCCTACACCCTAACCTTAACATATGAAATTGTCTGCAGGGCGGGATTTGTGCCTAACTGGTTTGAGGGAGAAATTCACACATATGATGCTTGTTGATAAACCATTTCTTAGTTGCAGGGGATTGTTTGGTTAGTAACATAGTTGACAACTTTTAAAGGGATACTCCACCCAAAAATGAAAATTCTGTCATTATTTACTCACCCTCAAGTTGTTGCAACCCTGTAGGAGTTTCTCTCTTCTGCTGAACACAAAAGAAGATATTTTGAAGAACGATTGGAACCAAACGGTTGTTTGGCACCATTGACTTCCATAGTAGAAAAAAAAAAATACTATGGAAGTCAATGGTGCCAAAGTTCCAATCGTTCTTCAAAAGATCTTCCTTTGTGTTCAGCAGAAGAGAGAAACTCCTACAGGGTTGCAACAACTTGAGGGTGAGTAAATGATGACAGAATTTTCATTTTTGGGTGGAGTATCCCTTGTTTAAGGAAATAAATATTTTCTTACTTTAATTATGCACAAAATATTTGTGTGAGATTATAATATGCTTTTCACTAATGGATTAAATATGATTTTGTTGTGAAGAAAATTGTTAGAAAAAATATTTCATATAATGACTCATAATACGTAGATCTAGATACAGTATAACATAGCGGGAGCCAACAGACAGGAAGATCTTTATACACTAATAAAGCATTGGATAGTAGAAACAAGAGAAAGCGAGATCTACACTACCGTTCAAAAGTTTGGGGTCGGTACGATTTTAAATACTTTTAAAAGAATTCTCTTCTGCTAACCATGGCTGCGCTTATTTGATTAAAAATACAACAAAAATCAGTTATAGTATTAAATATTATTCCAGTGTAAATCAGCTGTTTTCTGTGTGAATATATAGTAAAGTGTAATTTATTCCTGTGATCAAAGCTGAATTTTCAGCATCACCAGTGTCAGTGTCTTCAGTGTCAAATGATCCTTCACAAATCAGTATAATATGAGGATTTGATGCTCAAGAAACATTTATTATTATTATCAATGTTGAAACAGTTGTTGGTCTGTCAGTTGTACAGTTTTTTTTTTTTTTTTTTTTGGATTCTTTGATGAATAGGGTTAGGGTTAGAATCTTTTGTAACATTATAAATGTCTTTACTGTCACTTTCGATCAAATTAATTATTCCTTGATAAATAAAAGTATTGATTTCTTTCCTCCAAAAAATAAAAATAAAATTCTCACTGACCCCAAACTTTTGAACGGTAGTGTACATTAACCTACCATTGCGGCAGATAGCAGACAGTGAGATCTACATATAAATTAATACAGCGGCAGATTACAGATAGTGATCTAGATATACTCTAACAGAGAGGTACATAACGGACAGAGATATAGACACAAACAGAGAAATCTATGCACTCTAACAGTGTCATGTAAGAGACAAAGAAATCTAGATACTCTCTAATAGAGCAGCAGATAACGAACAGAGAAACGCCAACAGAGCAGCATATAACAGCTCTAGATATGCTTTAATAGAACGACAGAGACCAGTCAGTAAAGAGTTACCTGATAGGGCACTGTAGTACGTCAACTCCTCATCATCCTCTGGAGATGAAGATCCTCCCACATCAACGGTGTGGTCCCACTCCAGCGGAATAGAATCCACACTGACGGGCGTCTCACGCCCTGAGCGCTCCAGAGCAGGTGGTAACAGGTGGGACACGGCTTGACGTACTGTCAGTGAAACATCGGATCCCATAGCAGCCTCATCTTCCTCCCTTTCCCTCTCCCACACCCCACTGAAATCAGTCGAGTCTTCCGGATCTGTGTCTCTGTCTGAGAACTCTCGGTCCTCCTCAATCACCTATGAAAGGATAGGGATGGAAGGGCTCATGTCAGTACTCATTCTTAGTATTTTGTTGAGCGTTTGTGAGAGGAGTCTTTTCAAACTGACTGGGCGTCTGCTGATAAGACGATAGTGGAATCGGGAGACCCTGCCAAATACTTCCTGGCAGTAGGAGTGCAGTTCCTCTAGTTCATCTTCGATGAGTACAGCGTCCAGCGGAGCGCTCTTCTGGATCAGGTTCTCTCCAAACACAATCAGCGCATCAATCTTATTTGTGTTTAGAGTGATCTCTTGCTGAAATGCCTGCAGGAAGTCAAAGCACAAGATATTCTGTTATTCTGACTGCAGTCCAGGCTCATTTAATACGTTTCAAATGTTCGGAGAGTACGTACGTTTAGTTGACGCATCTTTTCATGGATATCGCTCTCTGAAAAATGCTCCACATTAGTGAGCTGAAGGTCCATCTCAGTCAGCCAGACCAGAATCCCCTCCCTCGTTCCTTCAAAGTCTTCCCGCTGAGATGTGAAGTGCTGCACAGAGGAGCGTTTAGGTTTTACCAACATTTTCTTTTAAATTCCCCCCAGAAAACATTATACTTTGTTAGCATGGAAATGAAAAGTGGAGCACATTTCTGCCAGGACAGGCGAGTGACAAAAATGTAAAAGTCGGATGCAGTTAATTTTATTTAAATTTTTGCAGGTTTTTTGGTTTATTTAGTGTCATTGCCAAACCACTCGGTATTTGAGAATTTAATATTTATTATACAGTACTGTTCAAAACTTGGGGGTCTGTAAGATTAAAAAAAAAATGTTTTATAAGTGTCTGTTATGCTCACCAAGGCTCAATTTATTCCGTCAAAAATACAGTAATATAGTGAAATATTATTATAATTTAAAATAACTGTTCCCTGAGAAGTGGACCGTCGACATGGCATCTTGAGTTGAACGCTATGGGGAACACCCTTGGCGTGAGCGGTGTCTAAAACCTTTTTACCCAAACAGACCAATCTATTGGCCGATGGAAGTCCATGACGTCACAAGTGGAGTGCCTGCTAGTATTAGAGGGTGCCTGCAAAATACGCCATCAGCTTTATCAGGCCGACCTGCTCAAGGACTTGGACCAGGAGCAAGGGTTATCTCCTGAGGCGGTGGCGGACTTGCACCAGACCATAGACCTGGCTCTCCGAGCCACCAAACAGACTGCCGTGGCTATGTTGGTTACGGAGAGGCACCTGTGGTTAAACCTCTCAGAAATCAAGGAGAAAGATAAGTCTTTCATCCTTGACACCCCAATCTAGCTTTTGGGTTTCTTTGGCACCTTTGTTGAGACAGGGGTTAAGAGATTCAAGAAGGTCGAGGGTGCAGTCCACTGACTTCAGAAGATTTTTCTCCTGTAAGGCCGAGTCCAGACCCTCTGCCTCTTCTAAGCGATCTCGTGTTAATTCATTCTCCATCAGGTACTGGCAGTATGGTGAGTGGTCACCACTATAACCCATTTGTAAACCCTTACAAACCCTCACTTTCTAATTGGGTGATTACTGCTTCTTGAAGCAGTTTAATCTCCTGCCAGTGAAGCTAAGGCATTGTTGCATCCTTGTTGCATCAATCCTACCAGCTACTGGTATTGGTTGATGTAAATGATCTGTCGACAAACTGATGACTGATGATCACGTCCTACATTCAGACTCATTTGTGCTTGATAATAAAATGGGTGAAAGTGACGATGTACATCATCTTGGTGTCACTGAGGCCAGCCATTGTGCTCAGTCCTCTGAAGCATTTCTTGGGTTGAGCACGCCTTCTATGAGGAAGCTCCCCTCTTGTAACAGGTGGCTACTACAATGCCCTCAATTGGACAAAGTGCTCCTGCAGTCTAGGGTTGATGGCGCAGGGTGCCTTATTTTGTTCTCTTCCTGATATCAGTAGGGTTAGCTCCCCTTAGCAAGGATGTACAGGTGTGGCTCCATTTCTAGCCAATTTCATGGGTGAGGGTTTGGGGCTTTCCAGGATGGGAAGAAGGTTATAACCTGTAATGCTGAAAGCTAGCATTTTGGCACACTCCCTTTAATATTTGCTGTAGTGTTTTATAGGAAAGAGCAAAGAGGTTAGGACCAGAGTATAGCATCCTTCCTTCCTCTTCATTTACTCTCTAAGGAGAGATGTTGTCTCCTGTGGAAACTTTAAGGCAATTCTGTGGTAAAATCAGGGGTAATCCTCATAGGGATCCTCTTCAGATACGTAGCTGATGTTAGTTTGGATACACTTGAACAAGCCCTGCTTTATTTCTTTTCTACAGTCAATGGGGCATATGGGCCTCTCTTTAGAGGAAGAGAAAGATGAGTGGGACTAAGTCAACTAATACTGAGTCTCATTTAATTAACAGCAGTGAGTAATTTTCTCTGTTACCTTTATTTCAACATTAATGACAGACAGCATTAGTGGCTGCTGTCACTTTAAGACCTGCCACTACTGCACATGAATCGGATCTGAACATACATCCTATTTTCCCACAACTCTTTACATCCATTTAAGACTTTATTTAACTCTTTTAAGACTGCTCTTATGAGGATACTAGACAAAACAGACAGTTTGGCATAATTGTTTGTTATTGTTCGTTCAAGCGGGAAAGAGAACTCGATTCTGGCGGGCGTCTTTCTGTGCGCTGTGTGTGTGTCAGGACTTCTCTTTGTCTTGTCGCGCTTGAATGGTTTAAAAGCATTTGCGTGATTAAGAGCGTGATCATCTTATAATGTAACCTAGCCAAAGAATGACAGAAAAAATGGATGCTGCGTTAATTGAGTTAAATATTTTTAAAGTGTTAAACTGGAAAATATTCACGTTGACAGCACTAATATATTACATATATATATATATATATATATATATATATATATACACACACACACGTATGATAAAACATTCTGGATTCTGATTTGACAAATAGAATGTTCAAAAGAACAGCATTTATTTGACATCGAAACCTTTACCTGTAACATTATAAATGTTTTTACTGTCACTTTTGATCAATTTCTTTAAAAAACACAATATTACTGAATTTTGAACGGTAGTATATGACCCAAATCTGACCTTTAACCTGCGGAGCACAGCAGCAACTCTCTTCTGTAGCATATCCCAGCGCTGGTTTCCCTCATGAACCATCAACTTCAGCTTACTGGCACCGTCTGTCCGGTTCTCTCGTGCCAGGCGTCGGTATTGTTTATTCACCAGCTCCAGCTGTGTCAGGCGCTCATGGACCTGACGCTGGAACGCCTGCATGTGTGCATGTTTTTAAAAAAGGGTTAAATGTCCAATAGATCTAATGAAAACTGCAAAAGCCACTACTTAAGTATCCATTTTAATTTGTATAACAGAACTGATGCTATTTCTCATATGAACAGACTACTATTACAGTTAGTGAATTTTTAACAAAAAAATCAATAAACAGAACTTAACAGAATCAGACCTCAAACTTTTTGAGTTCCTCTTTAGCACAGGTGTAGAGTACGTCTTTAGTGGCGGGGTTGGCTGCTGTGCGTTCTGCCGTGTTCAGCCACTCTTCAAAGTGTGCATAGTCGTCCAGGAACTTGCACCACAGACGCCATGTCTCCTCAATCCTGCAGGGGGCAGTGCAGAGTCAGGGGCCCGAAAAAAAACAAACAAAAACAAATTAAACTTTCGAAAAAGTGACATTGATGGGGTCAAACAAGCTGATTTGGGTGTTTGTATTGACCTCATCCTCCTTTCCATGGACATGGCACATATGTTCCTCCAGCGGCGGTCCAGGCTGAGTGTGGTCTGCTGAATGGAGTCGTTCTCTCCATCGCTGCCACAAGCGTCCGCATCATGCAGCAAAACATCACACAGGGTCAGAACAGACGTCACACCCTCTGTGTGCTGTTCAATGTCTCTCTGCAAGTCCTAGTGATAAAAATCAAATCACAATCTAAGACTGACATATTGCAAAAAACTCAAACTACCAGTCTTCTAAGAAAGATGGCATTGCCAATACATTAAAATGATGCAAAGGCATCCCATATTAGGAGAAAGCTCATGTTGTTTTTAAATAATAAAGGAATATAAACTTAATGAGATAGATGGTGCTCAGATAAATCTGTCCCATAACACATTGTGATTTTTGAAGACAAAATATGTAGTTAGGATTAGATATTTATACATATTGTGGTTCTGTTAATGAATGCAGTGATTACCTGATGCTCTGTTAGTTTACGCTGTATCTCATCATTGTGGCAGATGGTGTAGGTGATAGGTTTTGCCAGCTCACCCTCAACACGGGAAAGCCAGGTACGGAGATTACTCATATTCTTATCCAGCTGTTGCACTGTCACCAATGTCTCCTTTAGTTTCCTCACCCTGAAACACAATTGGTCAGTCTGTCATTTGCATGAATTTTTTGCCGGTATTTAAAAGAACAGTGTAAGAGGAGACAGGAAGCAATAGTAGGAGAGAGAGAACAGAATATGGGAAGGACTCGAACTCAGGTTTGCTCAAACATCAATCAATCAATCTTTTACTCAAGTCAGTCAATACTGTATGTCAGTCATTCAGTGAAGCTAGTGCCACATTTGGATTTTATACCCAGAAACAAACCCTGCAATTCTTTAAAACAGAATGATATTATCTTGTTATTTTATCTCCAGACCCAGACTTTCAATCTATCATAAAAATATTAATTATTACAGTACATGAATTACAAACTATAATATTCTAAACAAAGAGTGAAATAAACACTATTCTAACAACATATGTACCATTAAGGTAATCTTCTCAGCTGTTAAGAGTCCTGATTAGTTGTACATTTGCCTTCCTATAAAACAGTAGCCAATCATAGTCCTCATTTCTTCCATAGAGCAGAACAGTGCCCGGCCCGCCTGCTTTTGCAGTGCCCTTGGTTCCAGAAGTATTTCTCCCATTCATTTAAAGGATTTTAAAAAGTCTTTATTAAAGTCTTTATATATATATATATATATATATATATATAGACGCATACACACACCTATACCTATATCTGTTTCCCTGATTGGTGGAGATTTCTCTGCAGCATTAAGGGTAATGTAGTTTTTTCTAGCAATTCTGGTATTAAACACGATTATTTAAAAAAATAAATTGAAATGATGTACACTGATGGCTTCAACAAAAGCATATGATATTGTTTAACAGCCTCGTCAGTCTCTCTTTAAAGGCTTATAGGTTATCGCTAAAAACCAAGACGACATTGGTATATTCATTTATATAAATGTTTATCTAGTAGTATTATGAGTTGTTCTGTGGTGCTTGAGTAACAGTTCACATAAAAAGTAAACATTCCCTCACCTAGTGTCATTCCTACACATCTAGCCTATCAGCTGAGTTATACACAAAGAAACAATACAGGAAAAAAGGTGTTTTGCTCAGTGTGAGTGTGTGGTGACCCATGTCATGTCAGTCTGTCGCACTCTATTCAAACTACACCAGAACACTCAGTGTTAATACTACTCTAAAAGTGACGTCATGTGACTAAGAGGATGGGGACGTTCCTCCACAGTCACGTGACCATTCCAATGGAGGTCCGACCAAAACAAACCGGAGTGCTGATGTGGAAGAAGTGACATCACACAACAACTCAACTGCACGTGACAGCACTGCATTGGGACATTTGTTCTTATCAGAAGGTTTATTCTTACTGTCACATACATTAGCGCTATTCACATTATCACAAGTCATGGGAAAATAATAGATCCATGCAGTCACTCAAAATATTTGTTGTAAAAAGGTACACTGAAATAAGCTTGAATGAGGAAATGAGACAAGATGTCCTCTATAGCACATGAATATGAACATGAAAGCCTTAGAAAATGTATAATGATATAAAAGAGATTAAAAATAATGAAAAGCATAAAAAATAAATCTTGTTGCATATCATTTTCAATGCATTATTAGTAATGCTTGATTCTATGCATAATGCATGATTCTAGATGCATGCATCATGCATGCTCTTCACGCAGTGCATATCTGTTTGCACCATGCACCATCAGCAGCGTGCACGTCCTCCCTAGAAACAAGTGTGTTTTCATGCAAAGCAGATTATGATCAGTCACACTCAGGCTAGTGCTGCACACACACACTGACAAAAGCACTGCCCATCCCCCTCTCACACATATGAATGCATGCTTATAAGACCCATCCGTGTGGTGTGCGTGCAATTAGAAAACACTTACTCACAAACCGGTGAGGCTCCATGGCTTTCTCGTGTTAGCGTCAGCATGTCTGTCTGAATGGCAGTGGCTGGCTGATCACACACACACTCTTCTCACAGACCGTGAGCTTCTGTACATTACTCCCACCCTCCTGCCCCTCTCTCATACCCCCCTCCCCTCCTCCCTCTCATTGAATGGCTAAGAGATATGTCAGTTACAGTGGGGATAGTAAGGATGCTCAGTAGGGTGGCCATACGTCCGGATTTTGGCCGGACAGTCCGGATTTTAAGCCCCCTGTCCGGCGCAGCCTCAAGCCGGACACTCATTTGTCCTCCTTTTTGGAGTTGCGCTGAATTGTTTAAAAAAATTAACCTATAAAAATCCTGCATAATGATAGCGGCTCTCAGATGCCCGTAAATTAGTTCAAATCTCTTGGAATCTAGAGCCGCGCATGCGAGACAGAACATACTGTATGTGCTCCAAACCGTGCAGTGCGTTTCAACAAGGCATTAAAAAGACCATTTATCAAAGCAGTATTAAAGCCAGTGTGTGGTAGTTTAGCTTGGTAAATGTTATATAGAAAATAACAAACCAAGTCACATTTGTCTCAGAGCAAAAGCTCAGAGAAAAAAACTTGAGACAAACAGTATTTAGACAGTTTTTGGTTGTATAATTGAACCAACTGTCGACCGACCGACAAGTGAATGTACTCACGAACACACACACATACACTCACTGATTATGTTTTCTATGTCTTCATATTATCTGAACTACAATCAAGGTCAACGATAGATGAGGACCTGAGAAACAGACAGACAGATAGATGTGTTGTATTCCTCTGTGGTCTGAGATTATGTTCCATGGACTAAAGCTAATTAAATCCAAACCTAACCTGAACAGATTATCAATCCCAGAAGAACACTGCGCTGTTTCTCTAAGCAACAGGTGGGAGAACTTCCCAAATGATCAGAAGCAAATAACAAATAATACACAATTGCATATAACCTAAAACAACACATTTGTACCTTTAACACACACACACACTAGCTAGCAAACACACAACAAACACTCAGAGCACCTTAGCAACTGCATAGCAACACAAAAGGTGTGTCCCAATTTGCGTACTTGTGCACTATTTTATGCCATTTTTAAATGGGAAAAGTTTAAATAAGTCAGTTTATGCACTCAACTGTCAAACCTTTCCTTACGCATCAGAAGGAGAGAGGTTGTCAGAATCTCATACTAGATAACAAAATAACCGTATAAAATTCACACACTAGGCAGAAGAGTACATACATAGTATAAGTGTAGTGTATAGAGTATACAGTCCATAATTTGGGACACTTCTGGCATCTTTGCGGCACGTTTTTAACAGGCAAGCACCAATCGTATTTTTTCAAAAAAAATAAAAATAAATAGTTAACATTATTATTTGCATTAATTGTTCAAACTTTAAAGCAGTTCAGCCAAATGAGTTGATAAATCTGGGCCACAGCGAACCACGTTGGTGGGCCTCACATAGATAGAGCTGCTTTCAGTCTTTAGAAGAGGGCAATTCACGGGTGTTGGGAAGATTCAGAGCACACTTCAAACCTCTGAAGGGTTTAATTGTACCGTCCCACTTCACGGTTAGTCAGTATTTGATATCCATTCAGGATGATAGTCATGGTGGATAAAGCTTATGTTAAAATGTGGACTCTTCTTTGTAAAGAGACACAAAACCACACACACACACAAACAGGCAATGCTATCACACACGCTTAAATAAATTTGCTGCCTTAGCAACAGTTTCAGCTCAGGTGTCTGAACTTTTGAGTGGAAACTGGAAAACATATGTCCTCATCCAAGCGCTTTGGTCAGCATCTATCAAAGCAGAATAATGGGTACTTAAAACAGTGAGTAGAGAGTTAATGAACTTTCCAGAGTGGGATTCTTTAAAATCATTTATATGTGTGTGTTTAGAGGGGCTGTTTTCAACATAACATCAAAGTTGGCCCTTTGTCCAACAATAGTGAGCCGAGTTTTGCAAGACACCAAGAGTTCAATAATATAATGGCTGCCATCACTCAGCAAATAGCAGAAGAGCAGAAGGACAGAGCTTTGATGCTGATTGGCTGAGAGACACAATAAGTGGAGACAGAAGACTTATGGGAGGGTGAGTGGACACAAAGGCCCGTGCTAGCAGACGGCAGCTGCCCCGTGTGCAGATGCTGTGACGGTGAACTCTGCTGTGATTTTAGGTGACAAAAGAGTCGGATGCGTCAGTGTCAACTTCTGTGATCCTGCTTAGAGACTCGTCTCAATCGCACACTCCTATTTGCAAGTTGTATGAGTGACACACAAAATCATACACTGTTTAAAAGTTTGGGTCTCTTAAAAAAAAAAGTCTTACGCTCACCAAGGCTGCATTTATATGTTCAAAAATCCAGTAAAAACTGTACTATTGTGAAATATTATTACGATTTAAAATAAAGTTTTTCTATCCTAATTTATTTTAAAATGTAATTTATTCCTGTGATGAAAAAGCTGAATTTTCAGCAACATTACTCCAGTCTTTAGTATCACATGATCCTTCAGAAATTATTATAATATGCTGATTTAGTGCTCAAGAAATCTGATCAATGTTGAAAATAGTGGTGCTGCTTAATATTTTTGTGGAAACCGTGATACATTATGAATAGAAAGAACAGCATTTATTTGAAATAGAAAACTTTTGTAACATTATAAATGTCTTTAGAAGTGAATGCATTTAAGTTAATGCATCCTGGCCGAATCAAAATATTAATTTCTTCAACAAAAAAAGTAAATACTACAAATGGTAGTAAATTCAGTATATTAACATATCTCCTAGAAGGTCTAAAAACAGATTCAAAATAATGTCTGAAATCACTCAATAGTGACAATGAAAACAGAGCAACCAGCTGAGACAGGCCCAGCACGCTGGAGTCACGCCTGTGAACTTTGACCTCAGACACAGAAAACAAATGACTTCAACGGAATTATCAATACACACTCAGCCTGTCACTAAAACACTCTCTGTATGTACACAAAGTGAATTTAAAGGTATAGTTCACCAAACGACACCAGCTGGTCCTCAATCAAGTCCTCAGTCCTCAATAGCCACAAAATAAATCCTGAGAGGGTGAACTTATATCATACTGATGATAATGCATGTCTTTTCGTTTGACTTGTGCTCATGGAGTCTCAGTGGTTGATGGGAAGGAATATTGACAGGCGTAAAGCTGCAGCTCAAGGAGAGCCGACAGACAGGCTGGTCTCGTGCCTGGTTACCTACTGATCCACAAAGCTACTTTTAGTGTCTACATGCACCTGCAAAGCCAGTTTTAGCTCTAAAACCTTGACATTAGTGACAAAGAGCCAGAGCTAACATTCAAATCGCTTATAGACGCTCAGGAATCTGCTTAGCTTGGAACTATGATATGCCTGTCTAAAGCAAGGTATAATTTGTCTGTTCGCCTGTTTGCAAAGCAGAAAAAAAAAAAAAAATCAAACATTCTACTAACGCAATAACGACACTGGTTTTTGATAGCCAGCTACCAGCAGTTTTAATCACTGTCAATGTGAATGCAGAGATTTTTGCTTGACTGCACATGTGAAGATCTAGAGCTCTACAGGTGAATTTATCTGTTGTTATGGAGCAAGAGGGAGCTGCAGTTAAAGAGTTCAAAGCGTAACAAACTCATTTCCCTTTTAACCTCCTCCTTACTCTCTTAAGAGGCTAAGCAACACAATTACATTAAATGACATCCCACCAGATGATCTGCTTACCTAAGAAAGTACTGAGTAGTATAAGTTAACTACATAGGTTAAGGTTAGGTTTAGGGGTAGGTTCAGGGTTAGTAGTTATTACCCAGTTATTGTAAAACTATAATGAGTACATAGTCTGTACATGGGGAAGAGGACTGTAAAATAAAGTGCTACCAAAATGTTCTTTAAAATAATGGTTCTTTTAAGAACTGACAGTTCACTAAAAGGTTCTTTGGGGAAACAAACATTTATCTTCTATGGCATTGAATTTATTATTAAGAGTGTAGCTGAATCTTCTCTACCTCTAGGTAATATAGAACATGATATATACGTCAGTTTGCTGTATGTTGCATACAATTGAACAAACGCATATAGATGCGTTGAATGCACTTTAATATGATCTCAGAGATCCAGAACTAAGGATCTGAGAAAATGCTAAATATCCAAAATAGAAAGGCAGACTTGGAGACAAGACGTCAACAAGCTGGCCATCAATGTGACATGAAGCTACAGCCACCATCTGTCTAATCAAAGAACTGTCAATCAAACGGAGTGCGGGATAAACCAGCCCTCTCCATACACTCCCCCCTGATCCCACCCATCTGGACTAACGCCACACACTCGTTCACTGTGCTGATGTTTACTCTCCGTGTCTGTTAAATAAAGTGTGACTGAAATGAATAGGATCAATGTCAGATTAATGTCCACATTCGTCTCTGTGTTGTCTCGGATATATCTTAGAAAGTTCTATACAAGCAGTTCATATCACATGACCCAAACCCCAATGGCGGACTGCATTTCACACCTAGGCCTTCAGTGGTGTCCTACCTGAATTAATAACTTTTAATAGTGTAGCAGCGGCACAGACTCTCTGTAATTGTTGTGAAATTGCGGTTTTTATTTTGCACCGGCAGTTATAGGATTAATGCTGTGAGTTCGGAAAAGGTCGGGTAGAGAGAAACGAGCGAGTGAGTTCGGCTTGTGCGTTTGTGTAGTGGTTCTTGCGTTCCGATTTTAAGTTCAGAAACTTAAAGGTCTCACCTGGCCTCGATGTGATCAAACAGATGCTGCCAGCGGTCATTGATGTCCTTGATCTTGTCATTTATTTCTGTCTCTTTGGTCTTGTTGCTAGCAGTGATGAGTGTTTCTCCCAGTTGTTTCAGATGTGTCTTATTCTCACTGAAGAGGTTGATCTCCTCCATGCAGTCCTGTAGAGTGAGTATTTGTGTGAAAGGGGGTGAGGAATGAGTTTATTTAATGCCATACTTTTGTTTGCTTGCTTACATTAGAATAAATATGAAAGGAAGCAATCAAAGCAAATACATGTGGAATGTCTGACTCTGCTCTTCCATTTAGGATTAGCTAAACACAGTAAAATGCTAGAGCAGAAAGTACCGAGTATCTGAGGCGATTTGGGCTGGGTGATGGAAGACATTTGTCTCACCTTCTTGAGTTTCTCCACCATCTCCTCGATGCTGAGCTCGGCGCTGTGCGCCACCTTGTTCTCCATCTGTGTCAGCCATTCACACAGCTCCCGATTCTTCTCATTGAAAATGATCCAGGCATTCAGCCGGTCAGCAATCTCCTGCTTACGCAGAGACACCTGCAGAGAGAGAGAGAGAGAGAGAGAGATATTACATAAGAGATACTCTATGACAGCATCACACACAGAATGGGAATCTGACTAAAACCTGTCAAAATGATGTGCAGGTCATATATAAAAAAAAAAAAAGAACATATTTAGCTTTATAAAAATGTACTTTTAATTATTTCAGATGTTTTTTGCACTCAATTAAGAATACACACAATTCTCAGCACCGTTATGCAATTAGAAAGAAATTATGAAAAAATTTGAAATGGTAGTATTAATACGTTATGTATTGTATTGTTGTACAATTGTAAGTATTGTTGTACTGCTTTTTATACTGATTTAAATCAACTAAAAAAAACATTGTATTACAGGTGTCTTTACTGTAATACAGAAAAACGATCACAGTAATCTCAGTAATGAGAAACCAAACAAACAAACAACTACCCTCAAAATAAAAACATGTTGAGAGTGTATTTCTTTTGGAAAATTATTTTTATTTTTATAATAATTCAAAATTATTTGGATTTCTGGACCAAATGGGATCTAAACAGGTTTTGTGAGACACACCCTATAAATGAATTAATTAATTTCTTAGTTCTAGAAGAAATTAGTTTTTAATTTTTCTTTTCATTTAATTAATTAATTAATTTAACTTTAAAGTAAGTGATCTAAAAATATACTGTATGTTTACAGGTTCATATTAATAAATTAGAGACTAAATTTAAAACACACAGTTTAATGTGGAAAATAAAAACATGAATACTCTTAAAGTTTACAGGGAAGCATGGTATTCCAGTTACAGTGGACCCATGTATTTGTGTTTAAAGAATCAGATCTCCAGCCAAAACATCTCTATGAACCTTGTCACTAGAAAGTTTTAAAATCCAACCTAACTCAACAGCTGTGGACTTCATTGTTACCAGGCAACACCTCCACAACCACCACCCCCTACAGACACACACTCACACTCCGGCGTGTGACAGACACACACTGGGGGTGATTTCCAAAACAAAGAGCTAAAGACTCCTGCTTCTATTCACTTCTCTGTCTTTTCTCTGTGTCCTTCACTCTCTACCATCTGCTCTCTCCTTCCAGTGTCAAAGTCCCCTACCCACCCCAAAACATGACCCCAGGAGACTCCAGCTGACTGATCCAGCACCATATTCAACAGCAGCGAGACCTCATGGGAGTGAGGCACAGGTTCAGAAAGTAAATCAATATATGGATCATAGACACCAGAACATCATGCATCAATAAACTTCACAGGAACAATGACTCCAGCTGAATCAATGAGCACTGATTAAAAAACATTAAAACAAATCTTCACATCTGTTTCTTGGGTATTGATGGTGTGCTAACATTGTATTTAAAATAGCTGGAATTCCATTGAGCATGTTGTCTGTGTGTGTAGGTTTACTTAGCAGTAAACAGAGCAGTGTCCAAAAGTTAAATATGACAAAACATCCCTTTGAGGACATCCAGGATGTTCTCAAAGGTAAAATGTTTAATAAATGATTGAATGAATGAATGAATCAAATCAAATAATTATAATTTACTTTTGAAAACAACAATAAATTGCATGTCTTCATTTAGATAACTAGGTAAACATGTTTTTAAATCTGGATGTTGTGTAAGGCAGTGGATGCTAAGTATCTTAACTTTTCCACTTCAAAAATACATACAAATAGTACAGATTCATTCAACCTATTTTACTGTTAAACATTTCCTCACACACACGACTTATCAGCCAGTTCAATGAGTTACAAACAGCAGTCAATGTTTATTCACAAGATTACTGTAGGTTTTATATTTACTCTGTTTCCTCCATCTCTAAATGAAAGTGTACAAAAATAGTATTCAAAATAACTATGTGCATGGGTTTACTTAGCTATACTTTTGCGATAAAATAGTCACTAGAAGTTTGCTACATCTGACAAAACCTCCTTTTGAGGACAGATGGGTACCTTCTCAAAGATACTATATATATATATATATATATATATATATATATATATATATATATATATATATATATATATATATATATATTTGTATTGTATAATATACAAAAGTCTATGGTATGTTTGCTAGGTAAACATGTTTGTATGTCTTACCTTGAGGCAGAGTTCTTCCCACTGACAGTGCAGATGGTCCACTTGCTCCTGCAGGAGGAGGACGTCATCAGTAAGGATGTACTGGGACAGGTCCGTCTTCATGGTGCTGAGCTCGGAAAGACTGACGGCCCAGTCCTCTAAACAATCCTGAACCTCCTGCATAACATAACACACACCGTCACACACACACACTCACGGAAAACACTGCCACAAGTCCCAGTTCTGACTCACACAATCTCTCTCTCACCCTCTGGCCCAACAAGATTAAAGCCCACAGGACAAAGGGGGAGGGCAGAGGAGACAGAGAGAGAGAGGGAGGAGGATCACAGCTGAATAAGCCTATAGCAGGGAGGAAGGGAAATCCAAAGTGTCATGCAACACAAACAAAAGCTGTTATGTGGGATTTTAGCACAGGCTAACTGCTAACCGTTACCATAGGTAACTGTTGAAGTGTGTTTTTATTACAGTATTTTATGATTATATTGCTCATTTATAGACAAAATTACGTACATTTATAATATACTGACAACCACAAAAAAAAAATTTAAAGAGAAAGCCACACGATGAATCAAAGTTCATCACAAGTAGCTTTTCCACAAGCTGAGGTAAATACTAATATTGTATAAAACGTACATGCAGTGTAATGTACACAAATACAAAACACCGCTGTGGTAACAATCATAACACTAAATTAATGTAATAAAGAAACAAATTTAAATTTAAGTATATGATGTAACAACCCAGTGTACATAACTGATAAGAAAAAACGGTCACACTATTTCACAGTGTCCTTGTTACACATAGTTACTATAGTAATAACTATAATTTATGCATAATTACATGCAACTAACCCTACAACAAACCTAATCCTAACCCTATTGTAAGTACACGTAGTTAATTAATATTACACAGTACTTAAATGTATAGTTACACTGCAACAAGGACAACAAGGACTTAAAATAAAATAAAATAAAACTAAGAAACAGTTATTCTAATGAGAAACCATCAAATGTGAGCTGTCACACAGGAAATTCTGGGAATGTCCATTACGGTTTTTACACTGTAAATTATTAGATGACTTGTTCTTTCTCACTTACACAACAAAAAAGTAATAAAATAACAGTATTTTACTGTAAAGGTACATGAAATGTCCAGTTCGATTTTTCACCGTATACAGTAAGGGAATTTACTGTTAGCCAATTAACAGGTTTTTACCGGAGCATTTTTAGACTTTTACCATTAAAATTAAGATCATTACAGTGCAGTTCTCTTCTTGGAGTTAGTGTACCTTCACGAGGAGGCGTTCTTCTTCCATCTCCTCTTGCTGATCTGGGATCAACTGCTTTAGTCTGGCCCGTAGCTCATCCAGGCGCTGGGCCTGATCTGCTAGTCTGATCTCACAGGTCTCCCACTTCTGTAAAATAATAAATAAATAAATAAAAAACATATGCAATAGAAGCTGCTATAATGCTCTGACATGTTCTTGATTTAATATTGTATCTGTAAGCCTCTTTGTTTTGGTATGGGCTTGACCAGAGTTCTTATCAGTCAGGGAAAGCCAAAAATAATGCAGAGAAAACAATGAAAGCTTATGGATATGTCAAGGTAGAACTGAACACACAAACATATGGACAGGTGTCCAGATATCCACTGTGGAAGGTCAGTGTGCACTACATCAGACCAATGTCTCAGATCAGATACAAATGAGAAGTTAAGCCAACACTAAGGGCAATAAAAACACCATACATACATGCACAAACACACACACACACACACACACACACACACGTGTGGGGTTATCAAAACACACACAGATCTACATGTTACTACTGTACTGTACTGCACTGGAATACAAGCTCACTGCTCCAAACACATGTGTCCACACAAGACACAACTCACATACAGTATAATACATGTAAAACCCTATTATAATAACACATACTGCACAGAGGAAAGTGCTGTGAACTGGCATTCATTTTATAAGGTGATGAATGAGAAATGAAGACCGACTAGGCCCTGTGAGAAAGAGATAGCAAGGCAGGGAGAGCTGTAAATCCCTAGACAGGCTTTACTGTAAACCCTTGAGCACATGACAAGTGAATGTACTCATGAACACACACATACATTGATTATGTTTTCCATCATGTCTTCATATTATCTGAACTACAATCAAGGTCAACAATAGATGAGGAACTGAGAAACAGACAGATAGCAACAGACAGACAAATAGACATACAGACAAACAGATAGATAGATAGATAGATAGATAGATAGATAGATAGATAGATAGATAGATAGATAGATGCAGACAGACAGACAGATAGATAGATGCAGACAGACAGACAGACAGATAGAAAGATAGGCAGAAGAGACAGACAGACATAAAGACAGGCAGGGAGACAGATGGATGGATGAACATTTTATGACTTATTGTCCTGCATGACACGCATAAAGACTTTTCAGGTCAGGAATACTGATATTAAAATGAATGTGCTTGTGTGTGTGTGTGTGTGTGTGTGTGTGTGTGTGTAAATGTCTGATCTGGATTAGTCCAGCTGTGGAATCAAAGGGAATGTGGGTCAAACTCAGCTGGACTCATTCCTGCACAAAACCAACATAATACATAATACAGCATCACCTTTTTCTACACACAAAAATACACACAATCCAACATTTTGTGTTGTCCTGTAACTTTCTGGACTGGGAGCATGTAATGGCGGAGTTTATTCCTGGTGAAATGAAACACTTTTTAGACGCGTCCATAAAGGGATGGACAGTTAACAGGCTCTGAGCAGGTGTTAATCAGGGTAACAATCCATGACCTGCTATTTCCATCTAAATCAAATCATAAAAACTCCAATGGCAGGTTTCACTTTGCTGGAGCTGTTTTGTTATATAAACTTTACCCTCATAAATGCTGATATGCAGATATGATATCTGGAATCTAGAAAAAACTTTTCTATTTGTTTGTGATTACTAGATAAGGATAATGATTCCACTAACAAAGATACATTTCTAGATGATCAAATATGTCCCAGCTAAGCATCAAACTAATTTAAATATATGTATATTGTATATACAAATTAAGGACTTTTCAATTACTTTTTAACAATTACTTTCCCTGGTTTGGAATTCACAATTTAAAAATTCCCTAATATTTCCAAATTTCCATGATCATAAGAACCCTGTTCTGGAATCAAGTCTGATCACACAAACCCACTCACTTGGCTTTATGGATTTCCCATGTGACCTTTGACCTTGAAAATAAGGATAAGGATAAATATTGCTGGGTGGCAACAGGATGTCTATAGAGCTAAGCAATAAAACACAAGAGTTAGCTCATTCAAAGGTCCTATTTCACACCTAAACAAACCATCTTACCTTTATGATGTCAGATGTGAGTGTTTTTCTTTTTCCCAGCATGCACTGGCATTGCTCCCAATCCTCCTGCAGAGCAGCCAGGTCTGTCTGCAGCTGCATCTGCGTCTGCGTGTCACTCACTGAGAACAGCTGCCTGCCTACCTCCATCACACACAGATATGCAGAGATCGACCTTTGAAACAACAGCTCTGTTCGCTTTACACAGGAACAGAGAGAGAGAGAGGGGAGGGAGAGAGTGAAGGGGAGAGAAAGAAAAAAGAGAGAGAGATGGTGAAACAAATAAAAAACAAACTGAATCTTTTTTGTCATTGCCAATTTTGCAAGCTAATGTTTCAGTACATCATTATAGTATAGAGAATAAATCAATTCATTAAAAAAACAACAACAACAACAAACAAGAAAATCTACGATGTAAAATGAATAAGAAATATTTCAAGGGAAATAATCAAGTTTTTGAGAATTATTACCAGAAGAGATAACTGCTAAACTTTAAATGGATAAAAATGGATAGAAATGTATATGCAATGTTTTAGGTGTAGATCTATATATGCACCACTGTTAAAAAGTTAAGGGTCAGTAAAATTTAAAGAAATGTTGGCAAGGGTGCATTAAATTGATCAAAGTGACAGTTATAATCTATATAACTAAGATATCTATTTTTTTTTAAAACACAGTTTCCACAAAATATCGAGCAGCACAACTGTTTTCAACATTGATAATAATAAGAAATCATGTTAGAAGACTGGATTAATGGCTGCTGAAAATTCAGCTTTGTCACCACAGGAATAAATAACATTTTAAAATATATTAACATAGAAAACAGTTATTTTTAATTGTAATATTTCACAAAATTACTGTGTTTTACTGTATTTACTGTATTTCTGATCAAATAAATGGTGAGCATAAGAGACTTCTTTCAAAAACAATTAAAAAAATCAGTGCATATACTTTGTATTCATCATTGATGATAGTGATATTTAAAAATCATCTTGTTACCTTCAGATCATCCAGCAAGAGGCACAGCTGCAGGACGCTACAGTGGGTGGGACTGGTAGGGGACAGAAGTGTGTGTGTGAGTGTGAGAAGTTTGCGGAGTTTGTGCATTGTGTGTGTATAAAGGTGCCATTGCTGTATGAGCCCTTCCACTAGAGCACGCCGTTGGGCCGCTCTCTGCACCGCCCCCTGCCAGTGCTCTCTCAGCTGGGACAGTTTTAACAGGAAGTCGCTCCTGAGGGCACACGCAGGGTGGTTAGTAAAACGGTTGAATTTCAAAAGATAACTTACAAGTAATCACTGTGAGTATATATGAGAGCAGGACATTTTTTAAAATGTGTTTATGATGAAATTATAAAATACAGTATTACACTACCATTCAAAAGTTTGGAGTCAAAAACAGTAATATTGTAATATATTTTCAAATGTATTATTTCAAAACTTCAAACATGTTCTATTATAATATATTTTAAATGTAATTTATTTCTTTAATGGCTACATTTTCAGCGTCATTACTCCAGTCATTTGGTGCACAAGATATCTTGCTTATACTTATTATCAATGCTGATAACAGCTGTATTTGTGTGGAAACCATGAAACATAAATGGAAATAAAAATCACAAAATAAAAATCTTATGTAATATTTTCTAATAAATGTTTTTACTATGACTTTTTGATCAATTTAATGCATCCTTGCTGAACTAAAAAGTATTCATTAATTCAATTAATTTCTTCAAACTGTTGAACGGTAGTGTATGTCACAAGCAGAGCTCAAAAAGCAATACAAGATCATATTAAACAATGCATAGAAACATGCAGAGAATCGTCACCTGTCCTCCACATCTCCCTTTTGCAACAGGAGGAGAGATTCACTGATCACAGAGTGAAGGATCTGATGGCCTAAAGACAACTCAGCCTGAAAACACTAGAAGAGAAGGAGAGAAAAAGATAGATTTTTATGCGTTTCTCGGATGATCTATGATCCATATGAGCAGCATTTAAGTGTGATTGTTGTACCTGGTGCGTGCATTGCTGTTCTCTTAGTCCAGGGTAAGTTGATGCAATTTCTACAGCTAAACTGTCCTCCATGCGCTGTAGGAAAGCCAGCCAGCTCTCACATCTCTGCTCGAAGCTCTGCCGATGGAGAGAGGCTGCCTGCAACTCACTAAACACACATAATATACACATATTAACACAGAGTAAACACGCAATACCTTGTATATTGGACCTGATACTAGCATGATATTAGTCTCAGTGTTGGGGCTAACGCATTACAAGCAACGCGAGTTAGGTGATCAGACTATTTATTCCAACTAAAGTAACGAATTACTTTTAAACCTACAGAAAAATATATGAGTCACTTTGTTTTCCCATTTATAGACTGACACCTCTCCTGTCCCCATTTTGAGAGAAATCGGGAGTAAGTGCAGAGGCGTTGTGTGCGCTGTGTGAACATGTAGTTCTAAACTAAATGTGACCATGCATTACTCATCTCACCTCCACAAATACTGTGTAAACACTTTATGTATTTAATCTCACTTTATTAACCCATGTCTTTGCTGCTGACCTTCAATGATCAAATTAAACCATACAAATCAGCACAAAAAAAAAGGTCATTATTATTGCTGAATTAAGAGTTGAACTTTCTTCTGCAATCTAGATTGGCAGCACAGCTGTGAGGTTTGTTTGAGCTGAGCCCTCTACTGTACACGCATTAATTTGCATTTCCTTCAGCCTGAGGCTTATTAATTTCACTTTTGGTGTGAAAGGGCTTTTTCATTTGGGCTTTTTTGATATTAAAAAACAAACAAGCAAGGCCAGCCCAGGTGACCTTGCCCAGCCCAGCCAAAGTAACGTAACTAACGCAACTAGCTACTTTTTTAGGAAGCAATGCAATATTGTATTGCATTACTTTTAAAAGTAATTTTCCCAACACTTAGTCTCACCTGCACTTCTCCTGAGCATGTGCCGAGGCCTGTGCCCACTTCCTGTTGAGGTGCTGTAGCTTCTGTGTCATGGGGTCACTAAGGGTCAACCTGTAGCTGAGTGTGTTTAGTAGATCCAGATCAGGAGAGAGAGAACTGATCTCCATCAGACCCAACTGTAGACGAGGTAACACAGAAACCCTCAATACTGGGGATGTCTTCAATAAAAGGATGTTAGTGAGTTACGCGTTTGAGAGTTTATCACCTGAGATATGTCTGTGTGTTCACTGTACATCCTTTGCTTGCTTTCCCACTGTTGTAATTGTGTTTCGAGGGACTGGTATAGCCTTTCAAATTCCTGAAATTGCTCAAGATCCTCCTGGACACACACAAATAGTTTCAATTGAAGGAACAGTTAACAGTGACCTTTATGTCTTCAGAAGACAGACTACTATTATGGTCATTTTATGCCGCTATTATGGTGTTTTTGATCATGAATCTATGCAAATTTTGTGTTCAGTGGAAAAAATAAGAGGAGATGGGTTTGGAACAACGTGAACTATTCTTTAAACACTTCCAGGCTTATTAAAACACAGATGTTAATGTGTATGAGTCTTACCTGCATGTGTTCAATTCGTCCTTTCAGAGTCTGTTCTAACTGCAGGTAACCTCGTGTTAACAAACGACATTCTGATCTGATGAAAACAGCATCTTCATCATCCACCTGTTCAATCAGATCTTTAGACGCTTCAAGCATTTCATGAACATCAGTCTGCAGAGTCTCCGAACCTTTCTGTAACATCTAAGAGAAGAAAATAAGGACAATGAGAGACAGTGTGTGAAATACTTTAGTGGAGTCCAAAAGACTTTTGCATTCTTTCTTGTATATTATTACAATTTTACAATTATAATGATTATTTGATTATTGACCTAGAAGTAGTGCAGAATCATTTCTTCTTTGTTTTACATCATAACAGTTTTTTTTTTTTTAAATACCAATGATTTAAAAATGTATTGTGGTCTGAAACTTTTTGGACCCCACTTTAGTTTGAATTATTTTATAGTTATAGTTTAAAAAAAAAAAATTAATGAATGGTTGTCTGTGAATTTGCATTGTACTCACAGTCTTCATCTCTGCGATGCTGTGTGTGAGTTGTTTATTGTCAGCAGGTGTATTGTTGTGCATAGCAAGCTGTTCTCTGTGGCGTTGGAGCTGCTCTGAGCAGGTGCTTCTCATATCCGAGTATCTCTGCCACACCTTCAGAAGGCTGTGTGACCTCTTCAAGGTGTGTATGACCTTTTCCTTCATCTCTGACCACCTAGAGGGCAACACACAGGTGAATGAGCTTGAACATTCACATACACATTCACATTGTTTTGCTAGAGATGTGTGAAGTTTAACCTTGCTTTTTCTTTTTCTAGGTGCTCAGATAATATCTGGGCAGAGTCTGTGCTAATTCCACCAATAAGGACTGATGTTGTCTTGTTAAGATCCTCCCATTGTCTGTCACTCTCCTCTGTGTCAGCTTTTAAGACCTGTGATTATATATCATAAAAAAATAATTAACTAATACAATCAAATATAACATCATGGCCCGGTTTCACAGACAGGGCTTAGATTAAGCCAGGATTAGGCCTTAATTTAATTTAAATAGCTTTAATAAACATGCCTTACAAAAAAAAATCATTAACGTTACTGGTGTGCATCTTGCGAGACAAAACAATGGCACTGAAATATTTTAAGATATAGCTATCAATGCAAGTTGCTTTCAGTAAAAACAGCTCAAACAGCATTTAAGAGTAAGTTTATACGACAACGATATGCTTAAAACGGAGAAGTTTTTTCTTTGAGATTTCCGCGTACAGACACCATTATACGAAAATAAAATGAACGGCCAAAACGCATAAAAAGTTTTACGTTTTTAGTTGAAAATGGTGTGGTGTAAACAGCCCCAGGGCCACTTTTTATAAGTTTTGACCGGTTATTTACACGACAAACATTTTGGGAGCCTGAAAACGCAAACTTTTAAAAACACGTTTCAAAGTGGAAGTTTTTGAAAAAGGTCTCCGTGACCGTTCAAAGTTAAACCATAGATACGGATATCTATGGTGTAAACAACAAAAACGCGAATCTCTGAAGATGACGTAAATCACATGCGTATTACGTGTTCAGTCTATAGTGTTTCATCGCCATCTAATGGCCTTGGCCTGGCAGCAGATTACGGGGTTTTTAGCAAGGGGGTAATCCATAGACCGGAAGTTGAAGCCGGCCGGGTGCCGCCATCTTGTAGCAGAACTTCACTTGCGTTAGCATTTCCATTGACTCCCATTCATTTTGGCGTCGCTTTGACAGCGAATAACTTTACATCTGAGGCGTTTAAAGACTCCATTTGTCCATTATTTATTTCTAAAGAAACACGACAATGTATACAGAGCTCCATTACCTTCTATGTTACATTATGGCCCCGTAGAAACAGATTTAGTAAAAATAGGCTAACGATTGCGTCATAACCACTCGACTCTCTGTCGCGCTGTACAGAAATTACCGTACAGACAGGAGGAGAAGCTCGCAGGCAATCGGGGGGACGTCCCGTCAAGAGAGAAGCCCATAGATAATGAGTCCATAAAAGCAACGGAATACTTACTCCTGCTCACTCACGCCAAAGAACTCTTTGCTCAAGTTCCCCGTCTCTGCAAGATTAACGTTGGCAATTTTCACGCACAGCTACTAGAAGATTAACGTCTGTCAGACAGGTTGCTCACGTCATCAAGCTTAGTTTGAGTCGGTTTGAGTCTGCGCGTCAGGAACGGAAGTGCTCAAAAATCGCTAAAAATGGGCTTCAACTGTCTCAACTGAGTCCCAATGAGATGGCTCTGTCCACTTCTTATACTGTCTATGGTTTTTAGTCATTTTTGTGGACCCGTTTTGACAATGGTGTCGTCTGTACGCGGAAACCCCAAAGGAAAAACGTTTCCGTTAAGCATATCATCGTGTACCCGTCTGGCATAATATGTCATCATACTGTCTGTAACCAATTAGAAATATCTTAGAAATGAAAAACTGTGATTGATTGACAGCACCTGTAGCTTATCAATGTTGTTCTGGAGGGCGGAGAGGGAGGGCAGAGGGGCGTGGTGATACTCTAGTGATTGGCAGATCCTCATTGTGTTTACAGTTGCCTGGCTCCTCCTACTTTCAAACTGAGACCACACCTTACACAGCTCCCTCAGGGTATTTCCAAGACCTTTACTCTAAAAAAATGTACAAACTATTATTAAATTCCTTATTAAAGTTAAACATACACCCAAATGACAGTTTTGTTTTGAGTCACAGGAAGTTTCTGACTCTATACCTGTTGAGAAAGATATGTCAAAGACTGTGAGAGCTTTTGAGCTTTTGAGAGAAAGTCTTTATCCCTGTCCTCTTCATCAGTGGTAAATCTCCTCTTTTCCAGCTCAGTAAGTTCAGTGAATTTGTCCTTCAATTTTTCCCCCAGTTCCTGAAAATGAGAAAAGATTACTCTAAAATGTAATTTAAATATATTTAAATCAAAACTGAAACGCTTTTAAAATGTTTTTACTTTTTAGTCATCATGAAATCAAAATTGCACACAATATGCACACCATTTATTATAAATGATTTATTCATGCATATAATTTTTTTTTTTTTTTAAATCATGTGCCCTCATAATCTTTAACAAAATAACTTTCCCTCCCTCTTGCAGAGACATCTCATCTCTGACTCTGATGATGTGTTTACTGGCGTAAAGGCGGGACAACCTGTCACTCATATGACATCCTAACCATCCAATCAATTCCCGATGCATGGACAAAAATCAAGTCCTGTCCTACATTTTTTCCTTAAGCCCGTTTCACTCAGATATATATCACAATCGGGAGGAAAAGACTATTGCAACTTCTGTTTCATGCAGACTTATCATCATAATCAGTTTCCACAACCAGAAAATATCAGCGACTCACTTCACATTCCTTCAGGCTCCTCTCAGCAAATGAGCGACTGATGGGTCTCTCAGCCAATCGCATCCATTGTTTTTGACCTTTGACCCAGCACTGCAGGAGGTGTAGTTTGTTATCTCGCTCTGCACTTATCCTCACCTGTTCTTCAACATGTAGAATCTGTGAAATACATTCAAATATATGTTAATCTGTGTTGGTTACCTGTGTATTTTTTACTAATAAACTTAATAAAGTCACCTGTATTTTCAGGTGAGCCTGTAGAGTAAGCCAACGCAGACTGACATGTCCCAGGCTTTCAGCAAACGCAGTGTGTTTGTACCTGCAGGTGTGAGAGTCAAAACCGACCTGCTTCAGCTCACACTGATTAATAAAGTCAACAGACATCTGCTGACATGCCATCTCTCTCTTCATTCCCTGGACAGAGAGAAAATAAGAAAGACCACATTGAAATTTTGTTGAAAGTTTCTGAAAGTTAAAACTACATTGCCATCAATAAATAAAATAAATAAAATGTGTTCTTTCAAAAATCGTCTGTAAACTGTTATATCTATATTCAGAAAAGGAAGAGTAAAATAAAGTAAATAGAGAAAGTGAGAGAAAAAGTTAATTACTCTTGTTTAATGTTAAGCCTTCATAATTCATTCTTTTTTGTATTTGCTGAGTGTTACTTTCTAGATTTTACTTTGTACTTAATTTACACTTTTTTAGCTGCAAACGCTTTGGTGATGCAAATTTGCAGTTTTGTCATATCAGTAAAGCAAAATTAACTGAAAACAAAAAAGAGAATTACATTTTCATGATCATTTTTTTTTTTGTTACTTTCATAATGTTTTCCTTTGTGTTATTTACTGACTGCTTTTTATAAGAGTAGTCTGCATTAATTTAATTAAATTTTTTGTTTAATTTTATATTAGTACTCCTTAGCTCTGTTTATATTGCAAACACTTTGGAAATACAAATATATGTTTTGTCATGCTAATAAACCACAATAAATTGAAAATGCTCAGAAAAACATAAGGAATTCATTTATTTTGTTGATTCATAATATTTTCCTTTTTGTTACATTTTGTACTTTATTTTACTATAATTAATTACTGATTTTTAGTTACTTTTATATATTTTTCCACTTATATTTGCTGGTCGTTTATTTTCAATTTGTTATTCTTAAAAATAAAATAATAATCAGTTATTTTTGGACTGTTATTTCATTTAGCATAAAAAAAAATCCAAACCAAAGATGATCTATTTTATTTGTTACTGAAATTATTGATCGAGAGAACAATGTACCTGATATGTTCTGAGCAGGTGTGTGAGCTCTGCGGCGGTAAATGTGCTGTGACCCTCTCGTTCAGCCGCCTGTAACCTGTTCTCAGCACCTGTAATCCAGCCACACACATCAGCCAGCAGCCCTTCAGGAGACAGGCTCTCCACCACACTCTGAGAGAGAGAGAGCACAGAGACAGATGAGAGTGATAGACAGATGTGCAGAGAATAGAGAAGATAGAAAACCGTGGAGCCAGGTGAGGGGTGACACATGTAATCAAAGAAGAAAAAGCGGATGAGCACAAGAAAGAGAGCCTCATAAAGGATGAAAAAAGGACAGAGACTATTCCTCACAGATTTCATCAGCTGCTGAGTGATAGAGGGAATCATGGCTGCATGACCTTCATGAGAAACTTTTATAACTGATCTTCCAAACTAAAGAACACAACTCACAGATATGTATTTTTCAACCATCGAGGGAACAGCTTGTAATGATGCAGTACATGCTATAATTTCAGACAAATTGAAGTACAGACTAAAATGTACCTGGTGCAGTCTCTGTTGGACGGTGGGTATGTGTGTCTGTATCTCCACCCAGTCTTGCTCCACCTGAGACAGCTGGGACTGTAGAGTCAGAAGAACAGGGGACAGAACCATCTCTTGTTTTACAGACAAATCAAGTGCAGATGACTTCATTTCCTCAGAGATAACACCTTCATTTGTGATGTTTGCATCTGATCTCTCTGTGGTTGAAAGAGTTTCTTCTGAGATGTTTTGAATAGAGGAAACATTGGTTTCAGAAGGAAAGTCTTCAGGGTCGTTTGAGGTGAGATTGCCAGTTTCACTCGGCTCTAGGTCTTCAGAGATTGTTGTATTTCCAGAGGGAGTTGATGTTCTTGGAGCACTAGAGCTTCTGCTGATCTTCTGTGTTTTAATGATATGTTCTCTTTCACCGAGCAACAGGATCAATGATCCAGAACTGATCACTGATGCCTTTAGAGCAGATTTCACCTCCAGCTCCTTAATGAATTCCTGTGTCAAAAACACCGCAACCACTGTTGTTAACGTTAACTAAAACAAAACATATTAAAATTGTATTAATCAATTGAAAAAAGTAAGTGAAATAAAATATGAACAAGAATTTATGAAATAACAACTGCAATAAAATAAGTTGAAGTACTAACATAACTAAAACAATATCTTTTTTTTAAATGAATAAATTAAAACTAAATGGAATTTAGAAAAGATACTATTTTATTCATTAAAAAACACATTTTTGTTTAGGGATTTAAAGCGTTAGTTTTACAATCTCTTTATTAACTTTTTGAAGTGACAAAATTGTAGTTGCGTGGACTGTCAATGGAGGGACAGAAACAGCTCAGATTTCATTCAAATATCTTCATTTGTGTTTAGAAGATGAACGGAAATCTTACGGGTTTGGAACAACATGAGGTTGACTAATTGATGAGAGAATTTTCATTTTTTGGTGAACTAACCCTTTAAAGTAAAATATATACAGTATATATATATATATCCTTTAAATCCTGTAAATGGCCTTCAAGTTTTTAATCACCTTATTGTTCAAAATATTAGAAATTAAAAATGAATGATTAGAATCACTAGTTGACTGACTATGAAGTGATGAAACTGGGAGAGGGTGTCCGCTTCCTGTTCAGCCAAGTTCATGTGATCTCTCCATGCATGCAGGCGTTCTCTGGCTCGTTCTTTCCACTCATTCAAAGCCTCAAAATCGCTATGGTACCTGGAAAAAAAGTACAGTGGTAATATAAAATAGGCCTACTTTGTATTTATCCTCTGTGTCCTTTTCCATCCCTCAGTCCTTCTCCTTCTACACATCTCTCTCTCAATTAAACATTATGACTCAAAATATTGTCATTTTAAAAGCCTGTACAAAAATGATGCATTTTGTTCAAATAAATGGCAAGAATGTTTTGTCAATAGTCAAACTTAAATGTCCCCACAACATTCATCTTTACCTGTTCCAAAGCTTCTTAAGATGGTGGGTGGAGTCTAGTCCTTGCTCCACCCTCCTCTTTAGTGCAGCCAATCGCTGTTCCAGCCTTGCTGTAGACACACCCAATATGTGTACAGGAACAGCGACTTCACTACTAGAAATCTGCTCCTGCTGTCTACGGCCCTCATCCAGAATCAGACCGATACGAGCTCTGTTCTGCTCCAGAACCGCGAACACACTCTATCACGAACAACAAGAAGAATTCAGGGATCTTCAAATATGCCTGCATTCTGATTTAAAAGTATATGTGGGTTAATATACTAAATTTAAGTTTAAACCATTACCTGATACACAGAAATATTCTCGCTGAGCTGCCCTTCAGTTTGGTCCCACAGAGGAGTTATGGGAAGCTGAGTCTCTAACCTCTGCAGCAGTGTTGCTAACCAGGAATGATTTTCATCCCAATGAGTGCAAATCTGAAATACATCAAAGTCTGTATTAAGGGAAGTGTGTTTTAGCTAAAAAAATATAATAAAAGCTGCCATTGTTCGAGTGAATGACCAATTTGACCAGTTCCTTTATTCATCCACTCATCAATCCCATTTGTATGGAAGCTCGTTTCCGCCGCAGAATAAAAAATAAAAAAGGTAATTGCGACTTTTTATCTCACAATTCTGACTTTTTTTCTCACAATTGCGAGTTTACAAATCTATGATATAAAGTCGCAGTTGCAAGTTATAAAGTCAGAATTGCGTAATATAAAGTCAGAAATGCGTGATATAAAGTCGCAATTGCGAGAAATAAAATTGCATGTTTATCTCACAATTCTGACTTAATAATTGCATGTTATAAAGTCAGAGTGAGAAATAAACACGCAATTCTGAGGATTTTTTTTCCCTTAGAATTGGACTTTATAACTCGCAATTGCAACTTTATATCTCACAATTCTGAGAATAGATGAGATATAAACTCTGAGATATAAACTCACAATTGCGTGTTATAAAGTCAGAATTGCGTGATATAAACTGCAATTTATTGTGAGTTTATATAATTCTGACTTTATAAGCAACACGCAATTGCGATTTCATATCTCGCATTTGTAATTTGTAAACTCGCAATTGTGAGATAAAAAGTCGCAATTATCTTTTAAAATGTTTTATTTTGTGGCGGAAACAAGCTTCCATACATTTGTTCGTTAATTTATTCATAAATCCCAGTTTTTTCTTGGTTGATGCAGCTTTCCATTCATAAAAACTATAGGAGTGTCATTCTTCATGATTTCTTGATTCCCTTGATCTGGTACCTGCAGTGCGGAGTGCAGTACAGTGCCAACAGCCTGAGCCTGTTGCAGGGCACTGGACACCTGATGTTCCACCTCAGACACTTCAGTCTCCCAGCCAGAGGAGGCGCTGTCTGGGATCCGCACACTCAGTTGCTGCAGTGTCCGCAGGTGGGCAGCCAGAGATCGGAAAAACACCTGTAGATTTACAAAGTTGCAGAGATGAATGAGGGATTGCAGGCCTTGCTCTGTCTGAAATCATAATGGTGCTATAGTGTGCATGATTCATGTGTACTGTACTGCATGTTAGTTTTTTTGCATTTGTGCTGCTGATAAATTTGTTTTAAGGGCTGTATGTGTGTGTATTTCATAAGAGTGTTTGTATGTGTGTGATATGTTTACCGTGTGTTTGCTGAGGTGTGTCTGGAGTTGTGCTGGATTCCTAAACTCCAGCTGAGAGGTGCAGGCGAGTTTCTCTCTCCCAAGATTCAGGAGCATCAGCAGACCCTTCAGTATTTTTTCAATCATCTGCTGTTGATCGAGACTCCACTGAACAGTTCCACAGCGCTGCTCTAGATCACTCCAAACACTGTCCAAGACCGCCTAAAGAGAGTATATATTATTATGTATATCATTTCTTATTGTAACCAATGTTGAAAACAGTTGTGGTGCTTAATAATTTTTGTGGAAACCATAATACGTTTTTTTCAGGGTTATTTGATGAATAGAAAGTACAAAAGAAGAGCATTTATTTGAAATAGAAATCTTGGTAACACTTTAGATTAGGGAACACATTTTCACTATTAAGTAGTTGCTTATTAGCATGCATATTGACTGTTTATTAGTACGTACACTCACCGGCCACTTTATTAGGTACACCTGTCCAACTGCTCGTTAACACTTAATTTCTAAGCAGCCAATCACATGGCGGCAACTCAGTGCATTTAGGCATGTAGACATGGTCAAGACAATCTCCTGCAGTTCAAACCGAGCATCAGTATGGGGAAGAAAGTTGATTTGAGTGACTTTGAACGTGGCATGATTGTTGGTGCCAGAAGGGCTGGTCTGAGTATTTCAGAAACTGCTAATCTACTGGGATTTTCACGCACAACCATCTCTAGGGTTTACAGAGAATGGTCCGAAAAAGAAAAAACATCCAGTGAGCGGCAGTTCTGTGGGCGGAAATGCCTTGTTGATGCCAGAGGTCAGAGGAGAATGGCCAGACTGGTTCGAGCTGATAGAAGGGCAACAGTGACTGAAATAACCACTCGTTACAACCGAGGTATGCAGCAAAGCATTTGTGAAGCCACAACACGCACAACCTTGAGGCGGATGGGCTACAACAGCAGAAGACTCCACCGGGTACCACTCATCTCCACTACAAATAGGAAAAAGAGGCTACAATTTGCAAGAGCTCACCAAAATTGAACAGTTGAAGACTGGAAAAATGTTGCCTGGTCTGATGAGTCTCGATTTCTGTTGAGACATTCAGATGTTAGAGTCAGAATTTGGCGTAAACAGAATGAGAACATGGAACCATCATGCCTTGTTACCACTGTGCAGGCTGGTGGTGGTGGTGTAATGGTGTGCGGGATGTTTTCCTGGCACACTTTAGGCCCCTTAGTGCCAATTGGGCATCGTTTAAATGCCACGGCCTACCTGAGCATTGTTTCTGACCATGTCCATCCCTTTATGGCCACCATGTACCCATCCTCTGATGGCTACTTCCACCATGTCACAAAGCTCTAATCATTTCAAATTGGTTTCTTGAACATGACAATGAGTTCACTGTACTAAAATGGCCTCCACAGTCACCAGATCTCAACCCAATAGAGCATCTTTGGGATGTGGTGGAACGGGAGATTCGCATCATGGATGTGCAGCCGACAAATCTGCGGCAACTGTGTGATGCCATCATGTCAATATGGACCAAACTCCCTGAGGAATGCTTCCAGCACCTTGTTGAATCTATGCCACGAAGAATTGAGGCAGTTCTGAAGGCAAAAGGGGGTCCAACCCGTTACTAGCATGGGGTACCTAATAAAGTGGCCGGTGAGTGTATACAGCACAAATTAATGCCTTATTTTGCTTGACCATTTTCTACATCCTTTTAACCTAAACATAACCACTACAACAACTACCTTACTAACTATGTCACACTTGCTGTGTATATAATCCAAAAGACAAAAGGAAATGAAAGCAAAAGGAGTTTTAATGAACACGGGAACAGAGTAACACACTAGCATACAATATCAACATCAACGCAAGACAAAGAACTGAAGGAACTGAAGGCTTAAATACACAGGGATGGCAATCAATAGAACAACGAACAGGTGAGGACTAATCAGGAACCATAGTAACAAACAAGTGGCAGGAAAACTGATAACAAAAAAATAAACTAGGTAAAACCAAAACACAGGGACAAGTGCCCAAGCAAAACAGAACATACATGTGACAACTATCAATAAGCAGTAATTAGGAGTTAATTGAGGCAAAACTCCTAGTTAATAGTCCATATGTATTCCCTAATCTAAATTTCTAACATTATAAATGTGTCCTTGCTGTATAAAAGTATTATTGGTAACACTTTACTCAAAGCCTTTATATATAATGCATTATAAAAGTGTTTTTAATCCACGAATAATGCCTTGTAATTCATTTTATAATGCATTGTATGGTCTCATTAATAATTGTAATCACAGTTATAATACATAATAATACTTATGTTATGCCTTTAGAAAGTATAATGCATTAAAACACATGACAAACAACCAATTTCAGATGTAACAAGGAATCTGCAAATATTATAATGCATTTTAAATTTAGTTACAAGTATTTATGAAAAGATTTAATGTAGTATAAAAAACATTATTAATACCTTTATAATCCATTATACATAAAAGGCCTTAAGTAAAGTGTTAACATTATTTTTCAACAAAAAATTTGACTAACCAACGTTTTGAACGGAATGTATATTTTGTTATATACTGTGA